CAGTTCTCCTTTCTGATTAAGACAAGGGTTGGAAAGAGCATTCTTTTTTTTTTTCTCCTTTCTTTTCTTTCTAAAAATCTAAAGTGTAGGGACACCTGGATGGCTCAGCAGTTGAGCATCTTGCCTTTGGCTCAGGGCATGATCCTACGGTCCTGGATCAAGTCCAACATTGGGCTCCTTGAGGGGAGCCTGCTTCTCCCTCTGCCTGTGTCTCTGCCTCTCTCTCTGTCTCTCATTAATAAATAAATAAAATATTTAAAAAAATCCAAAGTAAAAAAAAAATCCAAAGTGTAAATCTCAAAAAGAAAAAAAGATGAATTTGATAACATCAGGATTAATGTCTCCTTTCAAATGAATTACGATACAGTTAATAGGATGATAACCTGGGTGGCTCAGTAGTTCAGCATCTGCCTTTGGCTTAGGTCATGATCCCGGGGTCCTGGGATCGAGTTCCGCATTGAACTCCTTGTCTGCCTATGTCTCCACCTCTATGTCTCTCTCATGAATAAATAAATAAAATCTTAAAAACAGGATGATAACAAATTGGGGGCGACGTTGGGAATATCTGTAGCCAACAAGGGGTACATTGCTAGAACAGAGAAGGTGTTCCCCACAAATCAACAAGGGAAAGATAGTAATTCTGTCAACTACCGCGAAAATGGTCAAAAGATAAGGATCAGCAATTTATAGCAGAAGAAACCCACAAGCTTAACAAGAATATGATGGGGGATCCCTGGGTGGCTCAGCGGTTTAGCGCCTGCCTTTGGCCCAGGGTGTGATCCTGGAGTCCCGGGATCAAGTCCTACATCAGGCTCCCTGCATGGAGCCTGCTTCTCCCTCTGCCTGTGTCTCTCATGAATAAGTAAATAAAAAAGTTTAAAAAAACAAAAAAAAATACAAACAAACAAGAATATGATGAAACCCTCTATCTCGCTAATAGAGGGAGGTAAGTTAAAACAAGAACATGTCATTATAGCCCTATTATGCTGAAAAAAATGAAAGAGCTAGTCAATGCCAAATGTTGGCGGGGATGGGGGCACTTGCATGGACTTCTAGTGGGGGAGTAGACTGGAGCAGCCCTCCGGGGAATAATGTGGTGGTATGCCTGTGCAAAATTTTTGGAGGTGACAGATGTGCTTAGTAACTTGGTTGTGGCGATGGTATCACATGTATATGCATATGTCCACAGGTATCCAGATGTGGACAACATGTGTGCAAGTTTTTGTAAATCAATTATACCCCAATAAAGCTAAGACACTTTCTCTAAAAACAAACAAACAGGGCAGCCCCGGTGGCTCAGCGGTTTAGCTCCGCCTGCAGTGTGATCCTGGAGACCCAGGATCGAGTCCCACATCGGGCTTCCTGCAGGGAGCCTGCTTCTCCCTCTGCCTGTGTCTCTGCCTCTCTTTGCTCTCTCTGAATGAATAAATAAATAAATCTTTAAAAAAAATAAAAACAAACAAACAAAACAAACAAAACCTAAGTCCTTCACCAGTTTTAGATATGCATCCCAAAGAGATTCTCAGCCGTGTCCATAAGGAAACAAGGACAATGATGTTTCTCACAGTGTTGTTTCTGGTGGTACTGTGGCTGTCATTCCCTGGGAGAGTAGACAGTAGATCAGGGTAGATCTGCATCATTGAATAACTGTTAGCAGTTAGAAGCTACTGGCTAGATAAATACAAAGCAACATGCACAGAGTCTCAAAACAAAGGTGAGTGGGGAAAAAAGTAAGAAACAGATTGCCATCTGAAACATAAACTATTTACGTGAGTTCAGAGCACATGCATATATACGTATCTAGTCGTATATGTTAGACACGTATCTTCTTTGTCTTTTGGACACAGTGCTAGGCAGCGAGGGGCTGCTGAAGAGACCAGGATCCCGAGCTGTGGAGGCTACCACCAGAAATGTGGACTCGGACCTGCACGAGATGTGTGGCCACTGGAGGCAGTGTCACTGGCATGAGGCTGCCATACAGAAGCTGAAAGCCGAGGCAAGAGGACCATGGGAATGGATGAAATTAAGGCACCGAGGGAGAAGTTCTTTGAACTAGTGGCGTCCTTCCCAAGGCCTTCAGATCTCATTGCATCTGGAAGGCCTTTTGTTTGCAAAAGAGAGAGACCTACAACCCAAACTAGCATCAGCAAAAATAGTTGTTGCCTCATGGAATTCAGAAGGCCAGAGCAACTCTGTTCTCAAGGACTTTGAAAATTTTCCTCTCCAACCCTTCTATTTATCCCCTGACAGCAAATTATATTTCTTTTTCATATCTGTCTCCATATAGGTCTTTCCTATCTTTTGGCTGGACTTTTCTCAGAGCTTGATGGAGGAGATGGGAAGGTGGAGGGTCACAGCTTCTTCATCCCAGTTTAGCAACCCAATTTCTGTTTTAGCATCCATATATAGACCCAGGGAAGCACCCTGATTGGTCCAGCTCAAGTCACATGTCTAAAGGCCAATCACTTTGGCTAAACCATGGGGATCTGGGATTGATTGGCTAGGCTGGGCCCAGTGCCTATGGCCTGAAGGTGATACTGTGTCTGTCACCGTGTAGCACCACCTGCCAGTACCGGCTCAGCACCTTTGTTCAGAGAGGTGGACCATGGCTGGTGGAGAGAGAAAGCCCAGCCGTGGAGCCCCTGCCACAAGGAGGCTCCAGGGTGGTGCCTGGGAGGTAGTGGTCTCATTAACATCTATTCAGCAAATGACAAAACTTAATCCCAGAGAAGGAGAAAAGATCCAGGCAGTCCGAACTAAGAGTGGCAGGGGATGGTAGCCAGGCTGCTTCTGCCTGTTCTTTCTGGCCTCTTCTTGCAAGCCCCTGGTGGTCCATATGGAGAGAACAATTACCATTCTTCTTCCAGACACTGTATAAACAGTTAACAATGTGGTTATGCCCCCCTTGGGGGCCAGCAGTTGATGAGCTCCATGGATCACTGCTCCCTTCCACAGAGAAGAACATTCCAGCAGGATGAGGTCAGAGAGCCAAGGAAAATTGGGGGTAGGGAGGGAGGTTCCTGGGTCAGAGCTCTGGAGCAGTGCCTGGCCCCCAACTCCACCCCTTAACCTGAGTGTTCCAATCACTGGACTCAGAAATCTCTGAATGCACTTGAGTCCCTGCCCTGGTATGAATGCAAAGGCAGTAGTCCATTCCTGTGAAATGGTTTGTGGACTGGCGGCACTGGGAGAAACCGGATCCTTCTCATTCTCCCCAGACCTTTTCATCGCTGGACCCCAAGCTGGGCGGCTACACAGAATTTAGCATTTGGTGGATCAGCTCCTGAGAGTGATGGATGCTGGCCATGAGCACAATTAACACAGTAACATTAGTATCATTTATTGAACTAGGTTTTACCCTAGTTATATGTTAATGTCTCACTGATTCAATTTCACATCCGCACTAGGTAGGCATTATCCTTCCCCATGTAGTGGATGAGGAAACTGACACTAACTCACTAACTACAATGGCAGAAACCTGCACCCAGACTCTGGGCTATGTGAATCAAGAACTCTTGGCTCCACACCCCCCCCCACCCCCACCCCCTGCTTCTTTAACCACGTTAGTCTGGTTGAATCCCCAGCTCAATGCCTACCTCCCCCATAAGCCAGCATGGTTATAAAGGTTGTGCTGTAAGGGACAACCAGGAGGTTTAGGGGTGGGAGGGTAAGGGCTGAAATACACCCTGGGCTCTGCGCACATGGGCTGTGGGCTCAGAACGGGTGTCTCTTTCTAATTCTCACAAAGGCACCATACGAGCTAGCAGCAGCCGTAGACTTGGAACCACGCTGGGCCTCTGGGAATTCTGACAGCACCCACTGTGCTGCCACTTACACATCTGGCCCCTTAAATCATAGGCTGACTTGCATTGTGACCCAACTGGTTCCCATGACAAAACTTGTTATTCCCATAAGTCATCCAGCATTTACTGTCGGCTGGCTCTTGCTTCCTTGGTGCTTTTGGCCCGAAATGGGTCATTTCCTTCCAACCGCCTCTCCCTTTCTATTTCATGAAGCTTATTTCGTAAAACCTAAAACCAAACAGGTACCCGCTCCCTCAAAGACCTTTCAAAAATCCACCTTTAGACTCATCTCACTCTCTCTGTACCATAGTGCTTATCACATCCGGCCTCTGATGTCGGGCATCACCGGGGGAGCCTTTACTACGCTTGGGACTTGAATCCTCCCTTGGGGAACACCATTAAGCCCATTTCACAGGGGAAGAAACTGAGGCTCAGAGAAGTCCTTGTCCGGTTCACAAAGGCTAAGAAGCAGAAGGCACGGAATCGAGGCCGCTTATCTTAAAGCTGCCTGCTCGGCTGAAGGTGGCCTCCCATAGCTGCCGTGGCCACGTGCGAAGCGTCAGCAAGGTGGGCTTTTGCAAATGTTCCGCAAAGGCAAGAAGGCTGCCCCGGTGCAGCCTCTCCCTCCTGGGCGGGCTGAGCTGCCGCTCCGAGGTTCCAGGGCGGACCCTTCACCCGCGCGGGCCCCGGCGGCGACCTGGGAAAGACGACCGCGGCTCCGCGGCGGGGCCGAGCCCCTGGGTCGGGGGACCCCGGGTGCGTAGGGGCGGGGGCGGCCCGAGGGAAGGCCCGAGGCCCCGCAGCCACACCCAGCCCCGCCACCTTGTTTACGCCTCCGGCTCGGCCCCTCCCGCCCGGCCGGGCACGTGACCTCCGCCCCGCCCCTCGCCCCCTCGCGTGGCTCCTGCCGCCGCGCCGGCCCTTCTTTTCGCCTCCTTCGGAGTCACAAGATCTCTCAGCGACCTCCTTTCGGGATCCTTCCGCCGGTCCCCGCCCCCTTCCCTTCCAAAGTCTCCTGGGCCCCTTGTCGACGGGCTCGCATCCTCAGCAATGAACAGGGCGGCCTCTTGCGCCCGACGGGGCTGCCGGCCGCGGCCGTCTGTCGCCGGGGTCGCGGGGGCGGCGAGGCCCGGCCGGGCACTCTTTTTCGCGGCGGAGGCCGCAGCGGCCGTGGCCGCTTCACGACGGGGGGAGGTGCTGCACGTCCAAGATGGCGGCGCCCTGTAGGCTGGAGGAGCTGTGAGGTAAACAGCCGAGGGGGAGGAGACGGTGGGTGAGTATGGGGGTGTCGCCCCCTCCTTTTCCTGGGGGCTTCTCGGGGCAGCCCTGGCGCCATGACCCCGGCCCGGGAGGCCCCGAGGGGCTGGGGCGAGGGGCTCGCTGCGCTGGCCGGAGAGGGAACCCCGGGAAGGGGTGTTCGGAGAGCTTTCCCCTCCCTGTGGCGGGGCCCCGCGGAGCCGGCGAGTCCCCGGGGAGGAGAGGCGGGCGGGACCGGCGCTTCGCCCGTCCTCGGCGGCCGAGGGGACGGCGGCGCTCCCGGCGCGGCGCCGAGGGCAGCGGTGCGGTGGGCCCCCTCGCCGGCCCCGGCCTCCGTCGGTGGGTCGGCGGGTGACAGGCTCCGGCGGGGGCGGGGGCGGGGGCGGGGGTGGGGGCGGGGGCGGCGGCGCGGGCGGGGGCCGGCGGGGGGCGGCGGGGGCCGGCGGCGGCGGGGCGCGGGGCGGGGGGCGCGCCGGAGAATGAATGGAGGCGTGCTGCGGCTCGGGGCCTCGGCGGGGCGTGCGGGCGACCGGGCCTCGGCCCCCGCGTGCTGCTTGCTGGCGTCTAACCGACGGTGCAAGGCAGTTACCTTGAAGCCAGCGGAGGTGACAGCTGCTTGCGGAGCCACTCCTAGGCGCTCGTTCATTCATTTGAGGAGCCGGGGGACGAAGAGCCCGCGGTCCGAAAGACCTTTTAGAATTAAAGCTCTTTGTGTCTCCCGTTCAAGAGTCTTGCTTCCCGTGTTTTGGGTTTGGGGGGTGGGGGAGCTGGGCGGGGGGCGCGGCTCCCTGATAACCACAGCTCGGGCCTGTGCAGTACTCACTGTGGAAGTGCTTCGCAGCCATCCTCGCCTCCAGTCCTTGTGACCAGGGGAAGAGGCGGCCGCTGTTAATACTTCCACTTCTCTGGCAAAGAAACGGAGGCCCGGAGAGATTAGGGCTACTGGCCCAAGGTCACACCTCTAGGATTAGCTGAGCCAGGGCTGACACTGGGGTCTAGGACTATGCCGCGGGGGTTCCCAAGACTGTGCCTCTGTCATTATTTAGACTTAGGTTCATCTGTTTGTACTCTCCTTCACCAGTTACTTGAGCAAAGCCAGCCTGTCATTCTAAACAAGTGATTAGAATTAAGTGGCCAGAGTGTGTGCACAAGAAGCGCCTCTTGTCTGTGTGTGTGTTTAATTTTGAAGCGGGGGTTGTATAGGTGCAGAGCTCTGGGTGCGCATTCACTCTAGCCTTGTTTGGGATGGCAGCGTTGTGCTTGTAAATATGTTAGTCTAAATTAGGCTGGGAAGTATTTGGTGTTTTTGTAAAACTGATGCGTTTACCGCAGAAAGAAGGCCCACTAAAATCCTTGCTGTGTTTTTTTATAGAAAGCATAGAAATAGCACTTCACTTTACATAGTGAGAGCTGTAAAAGTACTAAAATAGAATAATACTCTTCTGAGATGCTTTGATTTATAATTTTGGGATCAACTTGGAGTCATCTGAATTCAAACATTCCGGCAAAGCGGAGCTGTAAATTCCGAGAAGCATTATGAAAGCGAATCTTCTGGGAGCCCTTGATTTACTGAGCAACCACCTGTGATTCTTAAGTTGAGCATTCCTGAGTAAACCTGGAATTATGCAAATGTGAAAGCTGATTTAGGGTTGTGCAGGGAAATGCACCTGTAACAGTCATGCATCAGGCAAATGAGGCTCCTCAGAAACACTGAAGCATTCTTTGCAATTGCCCTGGGGAGCTGCAGAATCTTCCTCTAACCACCCGGTGTAAACCTAAAGGGTATTTATAGAAGATGTAAAATGAAAATATCCTCTTACTAAAGTTAATATCTTATCCAAAACACTCTTACATCACGTGCCTGGAAGGGTAGATGATGTAAGCTTTCTTCACTTCATGCATTTCCTGGTGTCAGAAAGACGCGGTATGTTTTTAAATCCCTAGCCAGACAGAATCTTAGGCGACTGCTGGCCTTCTTACTTATCTTCGTTAAGTTGGAGCGTCTCAAGTCCTGTGACTCAGTTGTACTCTCCCTTCGCTGGGCTAAGCGAAGACATCCCATACTGCTACTGTTGTGGTGTAATCTGATGCCTTTTGTGCAAGCTTGGTTTCAGTTGGGAGCTGAAACTGAACGGGACAAAACAAATATAAACCTGTCTATTTAGTATTTACAGAATAATAAAATTGCCAGGAAGAGATCTCAAGCAGTAGTGTTCGTCAGAACTCCACGCTCGGATGTCTAGCCTCATAGTAGGAGGACCTACATTTTTGGTCTTCAAGGATACCCTGGATATATATTATTTTGGAAGAAGTCATAGAAGATTCTATGGTACACCGGAGGTTGAGGACCAGTGACTTCAAGTATCAATTTGGCTATTTTTCCTTTAATGTATAATTTATGGCAGAGGCATCTTCTTAAAATAGTGTCTCACCTCTGGTGTGGGTAGTGGTGAGTGAGTGGGGTGGGCTCTGAACTACAGCTGACTCGATTTTGTAGCTTTGTCTTCTTTTATCATTTGTTGGGGTACAGGGATTTTTCTTTTCTGGGGTCCAGAGCCATAGTGGACTAAACTTAGCTTTTTCTGGAATTCGTTGTATACTCTTGGATGCAGATGAACCGAAGACAGGAACACACCATTTTAAGCTTTCCTTAAAATCAAATAGCTTTCGACTTTTAACAAGCCATTGAAGTTCTCTGAGCTTCAGTTTCTTCATCTGTGGAATAAGAGAGTTGGATTTTGAATTAGAGTATTTCTGAGTCGAAATTTCTGGGATTTCAGGTCCTCCTGGGGCTTCAGCTAAACATTCTGACTAAATTGATTGAGTTCCAGTGTTAATGGCTTTATAGTAAGTAAGGAAATTGGTGACGCTTAGCCTGACCCGTTGAGTAATGACTTGTTTGTCCTTTCTTTTATATCACATGCTTTTTGAAAATGTAATTCCGTATAAGTTCATCATAAGTCTCCCTTTGAGAGGTTAGTTTTATCTGTCTTAGTTTTGTTTGCCATATAAGTAGTTGAAATTAAGCATGAAAGCAAAATGTACTCAATAACATTTAAACTTGCAGCTTTTTGCTTTAAAAAATATGTATGTGTAATTAGCATCATTCACACTCAAGTTTTTTCACCTCAGTGCTTAGTATAGTTTAGTTTGCATGACAATATTCTTTTTTTTTTTGCCATTTAAATTGGTTTGAAAGAGTTCTGCCATCAACAATTTCAGATTGTTCTTTTTCCAACTTACTTTTTAAGCCTGTAGTTATGAGAAATTAGCCATTTAATATCTGATGTCTGTGTTTTTGGGGGGAGATGAATAAATAAAAAAGAACCGTCCAAAAAGATGTGAATACCTTTTTATATATAAATAAGGTATCTGATCTTAGGATCTTGCTAGTTTCTTCTTGTCTCTTGTACAGTGCTAACTTTTGTTCTGTCCAGGGAAGTAGCAAAAGGTAACAGATGAATGAATTCAGATTGTCATCTAATGAGTAAAGTACCTCAAAAACCTTGCTGATACAAAACAAGGCATGGTCGTTACTGGCCTACAACTCACAGGTCACTTTCTTTTTTCTTTTTTTTTTTTTTTCCACTTTCTAACGTAAAGATAATGACAGTAGAGACCATGAAGCATTTGAGTAACAAGGGACAGTTTTGCCTTTCTGTTGGTGATGGAAGGCCCAGAAGGGAGTGATAAGGAAGAACAGACGTAGTGACCTTATTAACATCTGCTCGCATTGGGTAAGACCAATGCTGCTTTGAATGATTCACAGAGCACAGGAGCAAACACGAAGTGTATCCATTTTAAATCATGGAATAGTTTTATCAATGTTTCACATGCAAGTTGTTACATGGAGAGACTGCTAAGCCTTAATGTACCCGGCAATACATTTTATTTATTAGTAATACTGTTATAATCAAGTTTATACTTGTTGAGTACTTATGTGCCTAACATTGTGCTAAGTATTTTACATGTATGATCTCTGTGAACTCTTCCCACAGCCTTAATAGACAGGGTAGGAAGATGAGGACACAGGCCTAAGGTCACTTACTCAGCTTCTGAGCTGGGATTTGAACACTGTTGACTGGCTTCAGAGCCCAAACATTTCATCTTTCAGTTCGATAAATGACATGAACTGCTAATCTCATAACTAAATCATAGGTCAGTGGTTCTTAACTTTCCTCAGTTCCACTCTGAAAATCTACAGGAAGGTTTAGACCAAATATCCCTTTCTGTCCCATCATTACCAAACAATTCATACAAATTCACTTCGAACTTTATGGACTCACCCTGCAGCTCAGCTGATTATTCTAGATAGATTATTCCTCTTAAAAATGGACTTGGGTTTTACTAAAAAAACTTTTTTTTTTTTTAAACCAGTAGGTGGGAAAGGCCCAAGACTTTTTTTTTTTTTTTTTTTCATGAGAAACACAGAAAGAGAGAGAGGGGCAGAGACACAGGCAGAGGGAGAAGCAGGCTCCTTGCAGGGAGCCCGATGTGGGACTCAATCCTGGGTCTCCAGGATCACGCCCTGGCCCAAGGCGGCACTAAATCCTGAGCCACCCAGGCTGCCCAAGGCCCAAGACTTCTTTTAAAGATGGACCTGTACTCTGTGTTATAAATCATCTTGTTAAACTTTTATATTGAAAGATTCTTTACACTTCCCTGGGAATTCAACCTTAAATGCCATATTAAAAAAGAAAAATTAGAAGTGGAGATCTCAGGTGTGTAACATGCTAAATGCTTGTCAGGCTTGGCCTTCAGTCTGTGCCGGTACCTTTAGCACCCGGCAGAAGTCCATTGGGCTTTTTCCCAAGGCTTATGCACTATGTAGTTTTTCCGTTGAACCTCAAAATATGTTTAAAATTATGTATTAAATATATGTTTTTAATGTTTCTTGGCTTCATCCTTCTCCTTCCTGGACCAGTGGTTCTCAGCCTTTAGTGGGCATCGGAATGACCCCGAAGACCCCACCCCCAGAGTTTCTGGTTCAGAGGTATGGTGCAAGGCCCAAGAATCTGCATTTCTCATAAATCCCCAGCTGATGCTGTTGCCAGTGTGAGGACCACATTTGAGAACCACTGTCTTAGACTATTAAACCCTGGGCCTTTATTCCCTAGGGCATTTCTATATTCTACGAACTTGAAACTTAAAGAAATCTTAACAGTTTACTTAAATTTCTTTTAGGAGAAGCTTTGTAGAGGGACTCTTTGAAACATACATGATATCTGCCTGACCTGTATTTTGTTGGTAAATAATTTTGTTCAGGCTAAAAGAAACGTTATTTATAGAAGACATATCTTACTGAAATCAAGCTCTGTCCAAGTTCTGTAAGATTCACCTTTGACATAGGGTATAAGCTTCAGCAAGTTGTCCCTCAAGGTCCCTAATGGCAAGAATTCTGAATGGTGAATCTGGAGCTCCCCTGCCTGTTCATGTGACCTGGAGAGGGCCTGCAGCTGTGAGACCGTGGAAGTCACCCACGACTACACATTTGGCAGGTTTTGCCATCAGCTGCTTCACTCTGACACACAAAGTAATGTTTCCTACTGTCTTCTCCTTCCTTCTGTGTGTCCGTGGGAAGAGAGAATCGGAGCTAGCATCATCCTTTTTGGATGCATTTGTGCTGAAGGCAGCTTTGTTCACTTGGTAGAGTATTGCCCTAAGAAATCACCTGAGACTCTTACTGAGCCAGAGCTGAACCCAATAGTGTACTAGTATATGATTATTATTGTTATCTTTGCTATTAACATAATGGTTCCATTTTATCTGTAGTGTGCTTCACACTGAACTTTTCTGTTTGTGCCTGAATTGTATCTGAGTTGTCTTTGAGTTTTTTAGATGAAAAACCTGAGTATGGATAGCAAGTTACAGCAAAGGGCATCTGCCTGCATGTAAACATCATAGACAAGTGTGCATAAAACCGTCTCAGGCGATGTGGTTTGCAGGTTGGAAGAGTCCTAGGCTAGAAGGCCACACAGTACTGGCTTTCCAAAAGTCTGAATGATCAACTGATATTTCATATAAAATACGTTCAACTGATACTTTCAGATAAAATATGTTCTAAAGGCATTTTCAGTGCCTGCCATGAACATTTCATAAACAGATAGCTCTTAGCCCTCCCACAGCTTGTAATGCATCTTGCTTAGGGCAGAGATGTGAAAACCTGTATGTGTCCTGCCAGTGGCAGCTATCCATGGCTGTTAAGCGGAAGTCCATATGTAGTCCTACGTATAGAAGCCATCTATCTATCTGTAAACACCTTAAGAATGAAATTAAGGTGAACTGTGAAAACAAATTGACCTGTGCTCTTTCTCTTACATCTTAAAATACTAACAAACACAGAACCTTCTTTCTCAAACCTGCCCTTTATTTATTTTCCAAAAAGAAAATACTCTCCAAAAAGAAAAAACTTCCAATTGCTTGTAGGAAGTGCCATCACAGTGTTGCTTTTGGGTGAAAACACAGCTTTTGCGTCAGATATGAAAGAGGAAAAATCTAGATCTGGGGGCATGTTTCTTTTATTTGGCTTTTGAAAATGAGAATGTGGATTGACCCTCTTATGCTCTGAGGTGCTTCCATCCACTCCCCTTTGGGGTACACATCTTTGAGGGGCTGGTTTTCTCCATTCCTCACTAACATCACAAGTTCATAGGTCACATCCACTGACTGACCCAAATTCTGTTACCTAGCAGTACTCTGTAGGGCAGGATTTTTTTTTTTTTTAGGGCATGATTTAAATATTAATGAATAGGGCAGCCCCGGTGGCCCAGCGGTTTAGCACCACCTTCCTGGGGTGTGATCCTGGGGACCTGGGGAGTTCCGCATTGGGCTCTCTGCGTGGAGCCTGCTTCTCCCTCTGCCTGTGTCTCGGCCTCTCTCTCTCTCTGTCTCTCTCATGAATAAATAAAATCTTTAAAAAGAATATGAATGAATAAGTAAGTAAGCAGTTAAACATAAATAATGGCAAGTAGCCTTTGACAAGCCAGCATTAAATTGATGACAATTTATTACCATTAGCCATTTTTTGGCCTAGCGAGAAAGAGGTTAGGAAATCTTACTGTTGAGCATTGGACAAAAAAAAAAAAACATTGTGATTTCATATGCCAGTCCCTTGTCCAAGATGGCTGGGCAGGCTACAAGAGCTCATCTTGTTTATATACCAACTTTATCATTGCCCTGGATATTCCTTTTCAGGTAAAAGATCCAACTAGGATTAATTGTAAGAGGACATCTATATGACTCACTGGACTAACAGCTGATGTTAAGGTTCTGAATTTTAAAGGCTTCTGTGTTTTAGTTCCAGTTTTTACTTGATTGACTGAGGCCAGGCAAGCACTCCCGGTCTGAATGATTTGGCTGAATTTCTGAGAGGCCAGCCCACCTCCCAGCAGTGGGCGCACACTTGCAGTATGCCACTGAGGACCGTTGGTGTTTAAAGCCTAGAATGTGCTCCATGAGGAAATAAAATTACCCGGACATCTGGGGCAAGAGATTTGAATTGTTAGAGGGTTGCTGCCTCCACGAGTTTGACTTTGAGCATCACAGTATATTGAAGGGCTCGTTTGCAAGCTTTCTCAGGCTCACTCACCAGACGTATGCAGTGCGTGAAGCTCAGCTTCCATACACTACACCCCACCCTGGAGCGGGGACCAAAGAAGTTGGTGAAACATTGGCTGGCCTGCACAGGATATATTTGCTTTTTGTGTGCTGGATGCTGCAGTGGGCCTGAAGGGGGGAAGGGGGTACCTGGGAACCAAACAGATGTCCAAGTCCTCGTGGAGCTTACCATCTCATGACCAGACCGTACCTAAATATAGTTTGAAAGGCCCACGTTTTAAAGGGAAATTGGAATGTATTTGTATAGACTCATTTAACATGAGATCGTTCAGACGGAAAGTATGGTAAAGAGAGGAAGAAAGTAGAGAAATGATACCTGCCCACAAATATTTTGTGCTTGTCCTGTAGAAGGATCAGATAAAGGTCGTGCTGTTTTTAAGGCAGGATTCAGCTTCATAGGTTTATTTTAGCACTATTGTAACAACTTCCATATAGTCAGCAAGTACCAGACGCCATGGTAGCCGCTAGAGTGATAGTACTGAGCTCCTGTCTCTCCCTGGATGTTGCTTCTGTTCTAATGAGGGAGATGTGTTCAGTAACTAATTACTGAATGTCACATTTTATTTAATTGGGTTGGGGTAAGTGACACAAAGAAATATAGGCTGCTAAGCAAATATAACAGGGGACCTGACCTAGTCTAGGGTACAGGAGTGGAGGGAAGGGAAGGCTTGGCTTCTCTGATGGGGCAAAAAAAATTTTTTTTGAAGATTTATTTATTTGAGAGAGAGTGAGTGAGCATGCATCCCCACCTCCCCCCTGTGACAGGGGGAGAGAATCTTCAAGCAGACTCCCTGCTGAGCTTGGAACCTGATGTGGGGCTGGATCTCAGGATGCTGAGATCATGACCTGAGCTGAAACTAAGAGTCTGATGCTCAACTGACTGAGCCATCCACACGTGATGGAGCAAACATTTACGTTGAGATTTTAGGATTGATTGTTAGCTTGGGAGTAGGGAGGCGAGAGGGGCAGAGCTATAGAGAGGGAGGGGATACATGGGCGGGAGGACAGGGAGGTGCAGGCCCACTAAGTGCTTTGCGCCTGGTCCTGTTCTTGCTTTTGGAGTGTGCATCCCAGGGCTGTTTGAGCGATGACTGCCCCAGGCTGTGCCAGGGCTCAAGGATGCATCGTCCTGTGTAACCCCTCACAGCCTTCTGAGGTAGAGGCTGCTATTCTTCTCACTTTCCAGATGAGGTAACAAGGTCAGATGTTAGGCACCTGAGGATAACTGCCAGAAGTGGCCCAGCTAATATGTGGCAGAGCTGGGATTGCACCTCAGAGCTTTAGGACTCGAGAGCCCATCCTGACCATTTGTTTATAGCTCCAGTAAACAGACAGCTAACAAAAGGTAGAGAATACAAGTTCAGCACAATATAAAGAGTTTTCCAGCAACCAGCTGTTCAGAAATGTAGACAGGGAGAGAGGCACGTGTGCCCACTGATTGTAAGTGTTCATTCCCGTGGAAACTAGCTGGCCACCTGTCAGGGCTGGGGCAGGAAGGAGGTCGAACCTGGTGAACCCTAAACTCCCTCTGGGTACATCTGGGATTTCACTTCATTGTAAGATTATTGTATACATTATATGTGTTTTTTCCCTTCAGTGACCATGAAAGACACCAGCTTGGCAGCACTGGAAACCGAAGTACCAATTGTCCCCAGAACAGGTAAGGTATAAATTCAGTCCAGTGGTTGGGAAAGACAGAAGGGAATCATTCACCTATATGGTTGCATAGGTGTGTACTTGTTTCTTTGCACTCAGGATTTAACAGTTCTGGTTTTAGCTACTTGCTAGGAACTGGTCCTTCTGTGGCGCGAAGTAATTTGTCAAATTACCCATGATTTATTACTTATTCAGTGCCAGACACTGTGTTTGGTGCTTTCTTTTTACGTGTTACTCATTTTCTTTTTCACAGGCAAACTTTTGGTGGAGCCCCATTTTACAGATGAGGACTGGGGCTCTGAGATACTATCTGAATTTCCTAAGGTTGTATAGCTGCTACTTGGGGGACCTGCGACTTGGATCATTTCTGTCCAGCAGCAGGGTTTGGTTTTCACACTAAATGAGATTGAAGCCTTTGTGTTGGGGTGAGTCATTTGACTAGTGTGGAGGTTCTCAACCTTGGCTGTGGAAATCCACTTGGATCTATAAAAACAAACCAAATGTGTTCTCTCTGCCCCACCCTTTAACCTGTTCTGGAGTAAGGCCTGGGCTTCAGGATTTTATAAAATCTCCAGTTGATTCTAATGTACATCCTAGGCTGAGAACCCCTGAGCCTAGGGAATTAGCATTTACATCTTAACGTGGCCTTATTTATTAATTGTCTTAATTAGTATTTTGGGATGAATTATATGCTGTGACAGTTTCTAGGAATTGGAGGATGCTCAAGGTCCCAGGATATATCCTTCATCAATACTGAGGTGTTGGCACTTTTGTGGATATGCATTTGGTCTTAGTGACATGACTTACCACTGAGCTGTGATTTTGAGTTTGCTGGCAGGAATGCCCAACGCAACAGCATTGTGTGTCTGTGGGAAGGTGTGGAGAAGATAGGGAAAGTGTTTGGTTTCTCTCGATGTATGTGTTTAGCTAATGGGGTTCATTTAATGGCTCACTGATTGCTAGTTACTATATTCCATCACTGCCTGCCTTACCTTACCTCATAGGAATTGTGAAATAAAGTAGGGATGTTTTGCTGTCAAGATGATGTCTGTTCACAAACCTGATACAGACTGTAGACTGTCTAACAAGACATAAGTAGCATTCTCTCACAAATAGGCAAAGGTCTCTGAGTGTGACTTCATTTTCAGCATTTTCATGTGTACTCCACACTCTCCCTTCTTTAGAAATCTGCTGAATGTGAATTTGAACCCAGCATCACATGGTAATGTTCGTATCATTTACGCCCAAACTGAATAACACATTGTAAATCTCAAACTTTATTCCACATTTTTCAGTATTGCAATTATATGACATCGTAGTAGCTAGATTTATAAGGTTTGGAGTTTTAAAATGGAAAAATCACTTTGTTAGGACTAGCAGCCAGATTGCTCCTCTGGTCACTGTTACAAGCTGAAGATGAGCTAAATACATGCTCATCCTCGGCTGCCATAGGCAGTCCTGTCACTAACCTTTATGGATAAAGTAGAATGCAATTTAGGGAAGTTTCTCGTAGATGGTTTTCTAGAAGGAAGCTGTATCTGGGATTGATAGCTTAGGCAAGCCTCACAGATCCTTTGTCTTTAGCTACTAAAAATTATTGGCAACCTATAGCTATATCTTTTTGACAAACTTTTTGTTTACATTTTTAACCTTCATAGACCCAAAACTACAAGACACCGTCTTCCCTAAAGCATTTTTTGTAAGGTCTGTTTTTAAATTTGATTAGTGACTGTAAAATATATTAGGGGGTTTCAGTTTTTCACCAACATCGTTTTCTTTATAGTCTTTATATTCTTCATCTTTGCTCGAAGATAATTTATCATGGATGTTGATTGTGATTTTGGATTTTTTTATGTCATAAAATCGAGGTGACAGGTTGACATTTTATTTTTCATTCATCTTCATGAGATGTGAAGTATTCCCAAATATGAATTTTGCTTGAAAGACTAAGATTTTAAGTTAAATGCAGTTTTAAAGGTTGTTTTGTTTGTAATGCTACAAGACAATTCTGAAATATTTAGAATTAAAATATAGTTTAATTCCTTTCTATTTAGCCATCTGTTATTAAAATTTTTATAAACATTTGGCTTAGAGTAATTACTCTTGTAGAGTTATTTATCTAATCTACCTTCTTTTAATATTCATATTAGTTAACATATTTAGCCATTTGTAAGTTCTTGATTGTTTTTTTTTTTTTTTTAATTATTATTTATTTTAATGATAGTCACACAGAGAGAGAGAGAGAGGCAGAGACACAGCAGAGGGAGAAGCAGGCTCCATGCACCAGGAGCCCGATATGGGATTCGATCCCGGGTCTCCAGGATCGCGCCCTGGGCCAAAGGCAGGCGCCAAACCGCTGCGCCACCCAGGGATCCCTCTTGATTGTTTTTGAACATAAAAGTCACATTCGTTAGCTAAAGTTTTTATATTTCTAATCAGTATAAACTTGTACTTAAACTTATAAACACAAAACTTGGATGTTAGAGCTAGAGCATTTTATTCAAAAGTGAGTATTCAGATTTTTAACAGTAATTCTAAGCACATACCTTGTCCACATTACAGATACCGTGTAGATTATTGTAATAGTAATGACATATAGTTATTGATTATACGTGCTCAGGGGTTCTGCAAATGCTGCTGAAGTAGGCATTTGACAGTTCAAGTTTTACGCTTTCTAAAGACCAAGACCAAAGCCAGATGTTGGCCAAATAGACTAGAAGCCAAACTTGGGTGACTCCTTATTTTCCATGCACGTTGAGATCATATTAAGTATTCTGTTCTGTTTGATTGAATCTGATGACCAGTTGTAAAGTTTAAACTTGGTGTATTCAAGGGTGGTGACTAACAAACAATCCCCTATTGCTTCCAATTGAGTGGTCAGGGGAGACCTCTTAGAGATGGTGACATTTTGAACATAGACTTCAGTGACAGTTGGCTGTGCAAAGATCTGGGAGAGAGAGGCATTCCCAAGGATAGTGGGAGCAGCAAGGGCAGGAGGCTTGAGCAGGAACCAGTTTTCCTGGCTTTTGGGAGACTGGGAGCAGAGCAGAGAAACGACAAGGCAGAGTGGTATGAAAGGAAGCAGACAGAGGCCAGGGGTTCACAAGTGGCTGAAGCACGTGGAGCGTTTTGGCCACTCCTGGGGTTCCGCTTTTACTACCTCCATGGGAAGCCATTGCATGATTCTAAACAGGAGAGGGATGGATTCTGATTTCCCAATTTCAGAGTCTTTGTGGTGGTTTGGTGGCAGTTACATCATAGGGGAGCAGGATGGGAGGTGATGGGGCTCGGAGTGGCCCACAACAAAGGGAGTAGCAAAATTGGTGGGCTTGCTGATCAGGGGGGAGTGTGAGAGCTGTGGAGGAGTTGAGGATGTCACCATGGATTCATGTTGGCTATAGACTGATGGTTGTGTGTTTTCCTGAGGGGGGGAGTGTGAGAGCTATGGAGGAGTTGAGGATGTCACCATGGATTCATGTTGGCTATAGATGGTTGTGTTTTCCTGAGATCCAGAAGACTGGCAGATTGACAGGTTCTGGGGTGGGAGTAGCTGTTGAAAGTCATGTCTTCCCATCTTCCCATGTGAACAGTGTGGTCTATAGCACTGTACTGTGGCACACGGCCACTGAAGATAATGTTCACCTAAGTGGAATGCTGCTTTGGCATGTGGGATACAGAGATGTACTAACCTAGGTATTGACTTGCGGCTTCTTCTGACTCCTGTGTTCTATACTTGGTTATTTGCAGAACAGAAGAGAGACTTTCACAGCTGTAAGTCGGTGCTGCCTGCCTGTAGTGCTAATCTTCATGTGACTTTCCCCAGCCCATCTTCCCCAGGCTGGAAAGTGTGTCTGACATGTGTACGCCTCACCTGCCCCCACTACATGCATGGCCCTCTCCTCATTCTGTGCGCCCACTCAGCCCTCCGCACTTCCTTCTCCGACACCACGTCTCCATTGCACATGCACGTCTGTCTTCCCTCTCAGCACCTTGCACTTAGCCCCTTGAGAAATGTTTGAATGAGTTTTAAAAGCAAAGATAATCCAATCATGGCATTGATTCTAAAAGCTCATTATTAACTCTTGGGAGGGCTTTTTTGTTTGTTTGTTTGTTTTTTTTTAAAAAAATTTTATTTATTTATTCATGAGAGACACACAGAAAGAGAGGCAGAGACACAGGCGGAAGGAGAAGCAGGCCCATGCAGGGAGCCCGACGCGGGACTCCATCCCGAGTCTCCAGGATCACGCCCTGGGCTGAAGGTGGCGCTAAGCTGCTGAGCCACCCAGGCTGCCTGGAGGGCTTTTTTGAATGTCAGAATCCTTGAGCTTGTGGGACACTTATGAGGAACCTTACTAAAACCCAAGATTTATATTTTTGGGGGGATTAAAAACTATGGTTGAAAGGTAGAAATTTAAAACAGAATTTTAAACCAGAAAAGCTGGTTGCCAAAACTGTACTAATGTGTCTTATTTTCTTGTTTATTTATTTTAGAGATTTTATTTATTTATTTGAGAGAGAGAGAGAGAGCACGTGCCAGAGAAAGAGAGAGAGAGCGCACAAGCGAGGTAAGGGACAGAGGGAGAAGCAGACTCCCCACTGAGCAGGGAACCTAATGAGGCACTTGATCCTGGGGCTCTGGGATTGTGGATTGGCAGACGCTTAACCGAATGAGCCACCCAGATGCCCCATTAATGTGTTTTAGAATAAAACTTAATTTTAAAAATATTTATTTTGCTTTCTATAAAGAATCTGGAAGGAGCAGGCTCCAGAAACCAGACTTTGACACCTAAGATGACGTTTGTGAACTGAAAAGCAAGCAAGGTAGTCCAAGCTGGTCAGTCCTGACTGTGGCCAAGTTGCCTGGATGGACACCATCTTTGTTTGGAATTGAGCTCCTGTCATGTATTCTGGGCTGGACTTGGGGGACCAGCTCTGATATTCCTGCCTTCTGAAGTCACAAAATACAAGCTCAGAGTCTCACTAGACTGAGAGTAGATGGGTAGCAATTTTATTGGAACACAACCAAACTTAGGGCAAAATGCTTCTAAACCTGAGAATAATTTGTGATTTACCTGAAGTAGAAAGGAATGTGAAGACTAGCCAGAAAATCTGCTATTAAAAAGTCATCTTGAAAGTGGTGGCCTCTGCCTGGGTCTCTGCCTCTCTGTGTGTGTGTGTTTCTCTCATGAATAAATAAATAAAATCTTTTTAAAAAAAGAAAGAAAGAAAAAGTGGTGGCCTTAAGATTGCTACTAGTTTTCTTTTTGATAATTAATGAGCACTGCTCAGGGAGTATTCGTGCCTAGTGTATGCATACATTCTCTCATTTAATTCTCTCCACAGACATTAAATCCTGACAGGTTGATATTTTCTTCACTTTTAAATTTAATCCAACTCAAAAGGTGAAATTTGTTTCTATTTTCAGCTCTGAACTCTTAGAAGAAAATCTTATCAGTTGTAAGCCCTTTGAAATGGACTCCCTTTGTGATTTACCTAAAAGATTTATATTCATAGTGTGAGCCAGCAACTTCCTACATCACATCACGATAAGCTATCAAAAATGCATTTAAATTTATTTATTTATTTATTTATTTATTTATTTATTTATTTATTTATTGGCTTATGAACTTCTGATTTACTGAGAGCCAAATCAGTGGCCACTGCCGGGTTGTAATTAAACAAGAGCATAGATGATAATAGTTAATACTCACCAGTTGAGTATTGATGCTTTAAATTTTGCACTCTCGCAGGAGGAGCTTAACTCTTTAGTGGACTTTTTCTATAGCATAATGTTTCCTCCCTAGTGCTTGTTAAAATGCAGGTTCCTAAGTCCCAAAGCCAGCTGTGGAATGGGCCAGGAGATTGAGGTTCTGAGAGGCATCCTGGGTGGTCTGGGTCCATGTTGAAGCCAGAGGGCTGCTACTCCAGCCACTCAAAGCAGCACAGAGCAAGCCACATGATACAGCCATGGGCCTGGTAGTTGAGCCCTCACAGGTCTGCTTTATTGTGTGACCTTGGTGAAGTTACTTCCCTTTTTGAGTCTCCATATTCTCATTTATAAAAGAGGATATCTGCTTACCTCACAGAATTGCTGTGAAGATGGAAACCATGAGTTCACTTGATGTCATATTGAGGGGCTCAGGGCTTTACAGTCGAGCAGATAGATCTTGGTTCAAATTTTAGTTCTCTGGTTCTGCCTCTTGGTAGCTTTGCAACTCCAGGCAAATGGCTTCATTTTTGTTTCTCTCCCTGTAAAATGGGGACAGATGAACCAACCTCATGATACTGGTCTAAGGACTGTATTCACTGATGTTTGTAAAAGATGTGCAGTTCCTATCTCTTAAATGATCATCGGTTTTACTTGTTTTTGAAAATATACCTTTAGAGACCTAAGTGGAGACAAAGAAATTATTGCAAATGTGGATAGTGACACCTGGAGAATGAGCTGCTTTTCTGTATATAAAGATAAGGCAGTGGATCTACCACCAGGAGGAATGGAGTCTTTGAAGAGAGGAGATTTACCCTTGTGCCCCCACTTCATGCCTCTTGCCTGTGACCAACGGCATTTGAGTGTGACATATGTCTGTGAGGAGGCATTTGTATGAAAATTCGAGACATGGTCCCTGGTTCAAATGAGATATTAAATGTACAGCCTCATGACCTAACAAGCTAGACCAGCTTTTAGGCAGGGATGGGAGTTTCATGAGGAAAATAGGATGTTTTTATTTCTTCATCTGAAAATAGTTCATCTACTTTTTGGATCAATGATTTGAAATGTAAACATAGCCTTAGCCAAAACCCAAGGCAGAGTCAGAAGTAGGAATAAAAATAAAAAACTTCGCTTGGGTCCTGGCATTAAGTTGCTGTGATGGTTCTGACTGGTTGCAGTGTTCCCTGTCTCTCTCCAGTGGTTGTATTCCATAGACCTCCTCTTCACAAATTTGTCAAACAGAATTATTCTCACACCCTACCTTCTTTCATCAGCAGAATTCTGGACAGGCTTTTCTGCATTGAGCACATGTGCTGGTTGTCTTGCAGGTAATTTTTTTCTGGGGAAAAATGGGGCCATTTTGTCACACTATCTTCCGTTTTCTCAGTCTGGTAGTGACACCAATGAAGAGCCTGCAGAGTTGTTAGCGTGCATCCCGGACCCGGCGTAGCACATTTGTGTAAGAGAATGGCCCAGCAAGCGAATATCGGGGAGCTCCTCTCCATGCTGGACTCCCCCGTGCTGAGTGTGCGTGACGATGTGACAGCTGTCTTCAAAGAGAACCTCAGCTCTGGTAAGCGGGGTCACGTCCATGCGCGTCAGAACGACTGACCTGGGAATGACCATAGTCCGCTGATACAGGTTTTCATCTTCTAAGGAGAGTCTCAAAAACCACTGAGAAAAGAGCATCTATTGCTGGGTTTATTCTCTGTGTGCTTTAAGCTTTTTTTTTTATTATGGAAATATTCAAATAGACACACAAACTTATGAAGTAAGAATCACATAATGAACTCACGATCCAGCTTCAAAGTTGCTGCCTTCTTGTTTCATCTCAGCCCTGTTGCTCCCCCTGTCCAAGTATTTTCAAGGAGATGCTGTTTGGAAATCATATATGTGATTTCTGGTATAAAATGCATGGCCTCACTTTAATCAGAGAAACATGAATTTCACAGTACCTTTCTTTGCTTACTAGGTTGACAAAAATCAAACACTGATTACAGAAATGGGTACTGTTGGCAGGAGAATGGATTAGTGTTCAGCCTTTTTGGAGTATCCGCCATCCATTAAAAAGCCTGTACCATGTGTCCCACTTACAAGAGTCTGTATTTCTTTATGGTCTTGAATGAAACCTAGTGAAAAATGGGGAAACCCAAGGATCCTTCAGTAGGTGACTAGTTAAATGAATTGTGTAGAGTTGTGCAGTGGAGCAGCAGATCAGAGGTGCTGCCACAGGAGGGCATCTACAACACACTGTCGAGTGTAAGACCACACACACACACACACAGACTGCAAGTACATGGGTGTGGGGGCCATGTGCGTGTGTGCACGTGTTTGTGGTTACCCAAGTAGAAAGAGGTTTGAAAGGACGTGTACCAAACTCGGATGCTTATCTCTGAAGAAAGGATTGAGAGAGGCCAGTAGCGAGGAGGACTCGCACTTTATGTACTTTGACATAATCTGAGTTGTTACCAGTGGAACTGGTTACAATTTTATAATCAAAGGAAGCAATAAAAAAAGAAGGTAGCACTTCAGTGGTTCTCTGGATACTTAGGTAAATTCGAATAATATCCTGTTTTTTTTTTTTTCTTTTCAGTTTTATACCTTTATTTGACTATCAGCGATTAGTTCTCATCCACATTAACAGTCTGTAGATTTTTGAAAGTTTTTAAACCTAAATGGATTGAAAGGTGGAAATAGAATTTTTTATGTAACCTTGGGGAGCACATAGAGATACGCTTGCTGGATTTCGTGACAGATAGCCATTTGAGGCAAATTGAAAATGTTAAAGGAAATAATGATTTTCCTTTCCTTTGTGCAGACCGTGGTCCGATGCTTGTAAACACCTTGGTGGATTATTACCTGGAAACCAATTCTCAGCCGGTATTACACATCCTGACTACCTTGCAAGAGCCTCACGACAAGGTAACTGCTGGGCTGTGTCCTCTGTTCCCTGCTGGTGCCGCTGCCTCTGTGCACACCCACTGTGCGGTCTGTCAAGACCTTGCTCCTTTGACTTCTCTGTGCCACAGATGATCTTATTCCCAGATTGCCACTGAGTAGAAAAATAATTTGTGGAATCTGTGTGTCCTGAAAAGTTTACAAAATAAAATGTATTCCAGAGGTTTTTTTAAGCTTTTGCTATTCCAAGAAATCCTATAAATTCTGGTGTGATTGTTGTACAGTGCCAGTTTGACCTGTAAGGTGCTCATTTAAATCCATGCTTTGAATAGGATTTTATTTTTTATTTTTTAAAGATATTTATTTATTTATTTGAGAGAGAGAGAGACAGAGATAGTGACAGAGAGAGAGAACATGAACAGGGAAGAGAGGGAGAAGCAGACTAGGCTCCCTGCTGAGTAGGTAACCTGATGCCAGGCTTGATCCCAGGACCCTGGGATCATGACCTGAGTCAAAGGCTGACACTTAACTGGCTGAGGCAGCCAGGCGCCCCTAATAGAATTTTAGAGTTAATCAATGTGGAAAAATCTGTAGGTCCAGACAGCTAATGCAGCTAATGTATGAGTCCTGTTGCCCCGTAGCAGGCACTTGGAGAGCTCCTTAGTGTTTTATTTTTGTTGATGATAAAAAGCTCACAAAGCATTGTAGTTGCATACTTTGGTTAAGTGTTGACTTTCTTTTTTTTCAAAGATTTTACTTATTTATTCATGAGAGATACACAGAGAGAGGCAGAGACATAGGCAGAGGGAGAAGCAGGCTCCCTGTGGGGAGCCCGATGCCAGACTTGATCCAGGACTCGGTCCCAGGACCCCAGGATCATGACCTGAGCCAATGGCAGACGCTCACCCATTGAGCCACTGGAGTGCCCCAAGTGTTGAGCTTCTAGATGCTACTGGCTTCACTAGGATTTAAAGACCTGTGCCTTTTCCAGTATATCTTGTTTTGTTGTTTTTCTGGGTTGAATTTTAACTTCTAGACTGCCCAATTTATGTTTGGAGCCAAACCATGTAGACCGGGCTATGGGAGCAATAAGTAGCTGTTTCCAGCAGGATCCTCTCGCAGCTTCGGTAACCTGCACAGGCTCAGGACCAGTGGTTATTGTAAGAAGTGGCTTATTTGTAAGCCATTAATAAGAGGGTCCGTGAAGGAATTTCCATCCCCCTTACACATGGGTATCATGGGATCCTTTTTCAGGACCTGACAACTGGCTGCCCTCTCTCAGGCCAAATACAGTGGTGTTTTGTGTGCCAACGTGGTTTTTAAGATCTTTGGTTTGATCTCTTTATCTGGATGGCCCGTGCTTCATGTCAATGGGGACTCAAGGGACTGGTGTCATTATTGTACCTCTGTGTCACCTTCGTATATTCACATGAGGATTTGCCTTGTTTCCCCTGATTTCCTCTGCCATTCCCCCCAGCCTTACTGAGACATGTTTCCCTGTTCTTTTAATTGTTTAGCACCTTTTGGACAAAATGAATGACTGTATGGGCAGAGCGGCCTCTCGGCTGCCCGCGCTGTCGTTATTGGGGCACGTCATCAGGCTGCAGCCGCCTTGGAAGCACAAACTCTCTCAAGCACCTCTTTTGCCTTCTTTACTCAAATGTCTCAAGGTACAATGTTTACAAGGGTTTGAATGAAATGCCTTTATGAAGATAATTTCTGAAATTCTGTGTAACTCTAAAGCAAGCAAGCTAGAATAGAACCTTGAGAATTTAGAAACTTTCAGTGTTTGGCTCTCCTTGGATGTAACATAGACCAGAGTTGGTACTTAGTAAATTCTCAGTGGGTCCTGGTGAGTGTCCAGGATCTTAGTCTAAGCAGATTTGGCAATACTTGGGTCAGACTAGTTCGACGTGACGTTATTCCCACCTTCTTGGATTCCATCCTTGTCCAGTCTTCCATCTGTTAAAACATCTGGCTTCTCTTTCGGGGAAGCCCAGGTTCTCTCTTAATGAGGAGAAAAATGGTTCATGGCTTTTTTTTAGCCATTTAGGAGCATGTTCTGGTTGCAGTCATCATTAAGGTTTTGTTGACATAAGGCCTACTGAATTGCATTCTGTCTTTTACAGTAGATTTAGTGCATTTTTCTACACGGTGAGTCAAAACCTAAATAGAACTTTATGGTTTTACTTTTGACAGTGGCTTGCTGAAAGACTCCAGGCTATTTGCTTAATCTGTTTTAAGCCCTGGGCTTGTTCCCTATCTATAAAATAAGGAAATATGGTTAATAATAACTGCTCGTACCTCACAGAGACCAAAAAGATCTGTTAGTGTTTGTTCCAGGATGGTAGTACCTCTGGATCATCTGATACAGCACCATGCAAATTGATTTTTGTCTCTGTCAACAAGGGTAACTGGTTCATTTTATCCCTAGAGGTGGGTCCCAAAGAGTCACGTTAGTCTTCTAAAAACATGCATTTAATGTTGAGAAAAAAACGAACAATTGAAACAATTTAATTTTTCTTAAGTGAATGGATCGGTGAGAATATAACTCAGTTTTGAGGCATACAATTCAGTTCAGACTGTAAAACACTTACCTTTTCCAAAAGGGTAAACTCTGACAATTATTCATAGATAGCTGTCCAAGTTGTTGGTTAGAATATTACTGTAAACAAAATTAGGGTTAGTCCTTTTTACTGGAACTGGTTATGTATTTTTGAGTCTCCTACTGGTATTTTACATTCTTCTAACTAGGTAGCTATTGGCTATGACAAAAGACCTCGTGCTTAAACGTAAAAGCTAAATCTATTTAAGGCTTTATTTCCAGACTCAGAGATTTCCCTTTTTTTTTTTTTCTTAAGATTTCCCTTTTTAATAGTAATAATAAATGTCTTAACCTGTGTGGTAGTTCTTGATTACTACTTTGTTTCTTAAATCTAAATACAGTTACTTGGCAAACATTCATGATTTAATTATGGATCAGGTGAGCTGCTGTAGCTATCCTGAGTTGATTCATTATCCATTGGGTATTAAGTATCTTTAATTAGCTTGAAGTTATATGACTTGATATTAAACTATAGACATGGTCAGAGGTCACTGTATCTCCTTTTATTTGCTAACCTATACATGCTGCTGTGAAGGTGAGCTGCTCAGGAGACCTGTGAGCGCCTTGCTAATTTCCTCTTAAATTATACTTCTGTTGTAATCCTTTAAAAAAAAATACTAAATTTTTTGACCATATGTAATGTTTTTTAAATTGATTGACAATAAGTAAACATTTGAGGATTTGGTCAAATGAACAGAAACGGTCATGTTCCTTTGCTCTGTTAAAGCCGTCTCCTCATGCTTCTGTTCAGGTGCCACAGGTAGAGCATCCCCGGCTAGAGGACTTGGGCATCTGTCCCCAGGTCAAGTTGAAGCTTCTCTCCCAGATAGGTTTGTCTGGGGGCAGCAGAAGTGGTTTTGGCAGACTCATTATGGTCAAGTTTGATCAGCGTGGTTCCCCCTCAAACCGGAGGGATAGGGACATGAGTCTGTGAGGGGACCTCTAATTGTGATCCCCTCAGGATGTAGAGTAGCCTCTCGGGGGGCTTTTAGCGCTGATCCTTATGTTGTGCCTGATGGGTGTTTCTCTGCTCAACCTTTCCTTCTGCAGATGGACACCGACGTCATTGTCCTCACAACAGGTGTCTTAGTGTTGATAACCATGCTACCAATGATTCCACAGTCGGGGAAGCAGCACCTTCATGATTTCTTTGATATTTTTGGCCGTCTTTCGTCGTGGTGCCTGAAGAAACCAGGTAAAGATGTCCTTACGTATCTCTCATTCTCTACCAGGTGAAGGCTTCATCAGTGATGAATGGGTCATGAGCTGTAAGGGAAGGACATGTAGAATTCTGTAGCTGGAATGGGTGGTTGTTCCCAGCCAGTTGAGGAGTACCTTGGGTGTACCCACTGTAGGCAGATAGAAGAAGCAGGACTGTGGGAAACCTTCCTCATTCTGTTGGCCTAAAAGGATTAGTTGTCAGAGAAACTGGTAGGGTGTAAAACTCCTTAATTGTCACTAAACCTCAATATGTCAAAACACCTTCAGTCCATGTCATAGCAGTGCGGGGCTGAACTTGCGGAGCCTTTGTCTTGCTCTGTTGGTCTGTTGTGACAGAATAGACTTCCGGTTTTGAGAACCTATCTTTTGTACGTGGAGAAGGGAAAATGCAGTGGGTCCTAATTAGTGTCCTTGTTTTAAACAGGGTGGGCTATTTTCCCCCATACTGGCAGGGGGTCCAGCTCTATCCAAATGATTCCTAAGCTATAAGCATGTGGTATTTGGAATCTTTTGGTAAGCCCAGCATCAGATACTCATGTTGAAAAGACCAAGTGAGTAAGCTGTGTGACACCAGATACTGTAGCTTCCTGTATGGGATTAAATAACGAGTCCAAGACCCATGTGATGCTGGTTATTTAGTGGGCTCTTATGGGAGGAAAGGAACAATCTGTCCATCATGGAAGGGCTGTATGGATACTGTGGTCTGGGTGAGGCTCGATGAACAAAGTGTTCAGTTTATCTCAGCTCCTTAAGCTGGTTTCTGGATAATAGTTTTTTCACTCTTTAGTTACAAATCTGCATAGCTAATACAGGCTGATTTCAAAAGGATCTCTCAAATTTGTTCTGCAAATATCTGAATGCATGTTCTGCACCAAGCATCGTGCAAGGCACTGAGGGTGCAGAGGTGACTATGACAGTGCTCTTCAAGAAACTCAAGAAACTCATGCTGAACAGGACAGTAGATTTTAGGGGGGCATCTGGCTGGCTCAGTTGACAGAGCATGCCACTCTTGATCTCAAAGTCATGAGTTCGAGCCCCATGTGTCACATAGAGTTTACTTAAAATTAAAATAATTTAAAAAATTTTAGGGAGCGTAATTATCATGACAAAGGTCAGTATTGTGAGAGTGTTGGGTGAAGACTGGAGAGGAGGACTGGATCAGTAGGAGCCTTTATGGGTCATTCCAAGTAGATCAGAGTTTATCCAAAGGCCGTAGGGAGACATTGATGGATAGTGTTTGGTGGGTTCAGGTTTGCATTTTAGAAAAACACTCTTGCTATCTTTGGAGAGAGGTAGGAGCAATAGACCGCAGGTCACACCGGCAGCCACATGCTCATGTCTGCTTTACACACGTCATCTTGTGTTTGGCTAAGTCTCCTCTCCGTGATTTCCTGTTTTAGGCCATGTGACAGAAATCTATCTTGTCCATCTCCATGCCAGTGTTTATGCTCTCTTTCATCGCCTCTACGGAATGTACCCTTGCAACTTTGTCTCCTTTCTACGCTCTCACTACAGTATGAAGGAGAACTTGGACACTTTTGAAGAAGTGGTCAGGGTAAGTGAAGACTGCTCATCTAATACTTGCCATACTGTGTGCACAGGCTACACTTGGGTCTTGTGTTCAGTGGGAGACAGATTTTGGAAAGCAGCTCAGCTTCCCCCACCCCCAGTCCTAGGCAGCCACTGATCTGCTTTCTGCCTTTGCAGATGTGCCTCTCCTGATGAGCATTTCACAGACATGGGGTCTTCTGTGACTGGGTTCTTTCACTTGGTGGAATTTTTCAGGGTTCATCCATGCTGTAGCAAGTGTCAGGAGTCCATTCCCTTTTATTGTCAAGTAATCCATTGTGTGGAACTTAAGCCTTTTATAATTTGTCGACCCAAACTTTTCTAGCCAATGATGGAGCATGTGCGAATTCACCCGGAATTAGTGACTGGATCCAAGGACCATGAACTGGACCCTCGAAGGTATAGAAATGAAGCTGGTGACTCAGAATTTTACAGCATCTCTTGACAGATTAATAGTGTGATCTAGGCAGTGTCCCTATTGAGGTAGTATTTGGGAAGACAGGTTCTTCAACTTACAGAATTGCTCTGTTTTGAAGGGCTTGTACAGCTAAAACTTCTTATGAGTCTGAAATATACTCCTCTCTGATGGAGAATTAATAACTTCTCTGGTGGAGCGGAGGCGGCTGCAGTGCAGAAACCCGCCCTACAGAATCCCAGAAAGGCTTCCAGCTTCGTGGTAGCAGTGATTTTGTGAGGGAGACTGAGCAGTGTGTGGTTGAGAACAAGCAGATTGTGGAAAGTGTGGATGCCTATTGGTGAGCCTCCACCTGCATATAGCCAAGTGACTGCCATTCTCCCGGGGGCCCTGAGAAGTTTCCAGGTTTATTCTCTGGAGGAAGTATACCTGCGAGGCTTCCTATTGGAGGATACCTTGCACAGGGTGGGTGGATCTGAGAAGGGAGTGGAGTTCTCTTCATGGAGCTGTGAGCTCACCTCCCTCCCCCACCTCTTCTCTGACTGGCAGCTAGGCTGATGCTCCCTCTTGCAGAGGATTGAACCCTTTTTGGGGAAACCAGTCCACAGATAACTGACATTTGGGGATCTTCCAGTAAAAAAGGTAGTTCACTGCCTGATCTTACCTCATGGGCCCTCCCCCTGTCACATGGAGCCTCAGGCAGATTAAAACAACTTCATCTGAGAGATACCATGTGTGGAGAGAGATACCGTGTGCCTGTAATGGTGAATAGCATCACACAAACACCTGTGCACGCAGCCACCACCCAGCTTCTCAGCAGGAACATTACTGGGTATCTATCTCCCTGTTCGCTGTCCCACTTCAGAGAAACTACCATTTTTGCTTTTATATTAATCGTTCTTTCTTTTCTTTAAAGTTTTACCCCATGTATTGTTGTGCTTTGGAAAGCTAATTAGGAAGCCAAACCAGGCTAAGGAAAGGGCAGTCCTGTCAATGTTAGACAAAGGTTCTTAGGAGGCAAGGGGAAGAAGAGCCCAACATCTGTGTCTTAGTCTGGCTTCTTTTCACTGAGAGTTTATAGGATCCCCTTGTCGGGGGAGGGGAATTGGTGGCAAGGTCATTCATGACTGAGACCTGAGAAACCCTTGATCAAGAAACCCTTGATCATCATAATGATCACCCTTGTCAGAACATCTGGCAGGGCCTATAGCAAGGCTGGCTTCTGGATGTGCTGCCAAAACATGGCAGAGGATGAAGACTGCTTGGTTTGCTGCTTCTTGGCTCACTGTGGCCCACCTCCAGGGGCAGTTTAGAGCAGAGTCCATCTGTGGGGCTGATCCAGGCAGAGAGGGGAGCACAGGGCCTTCATCAGTCTTTACTTGGGACAGACTAAGCACAGACAGCATATCCAGGCCTGGGTCATCTGCAGGCTGTGTCCCTCCATTAGGAAGATAGTGTGGTGGCAGCAGGGACGAGGGCAAAGGCCTGTGTGTTGGATCCAAACAGGCTGTCTCTCATGCCTCATGCACAGATGTCCTCTGCCTCTCTCTCATGCAGGACCTCCTATCCCCCATGTCTCCCTTTTTCTGGATTTGCTCTTGTTTTCGTGGAGTGTACCCTCTAGTAGCTCTTAGAGAATGGAAGCAGTTCTGTGACTGGGAACAGACTTCCGGCCCTCCTCATTCTGAAGGCATTATTCCATTGCCACCTTGCTGCTATCTTGCTGCCATGTCACTTGAGATCCAGAGCTGTTCTTTTTTCTCACGTCTGTATCTGCCATGATTTTCTCCACGGGAGCCCAGAGAGCCTTTTCTTTGTTCTCCTTATATCCTGAATCAGAATCTGTCAGAATCTGTTCTCATTGTTTAATCTTGAAACTCTTATGTTTAAGCTCTAGGAAATTTTCTCTAATTATCTTGTGTTTGATTTCCTTCCCTCCATTGTGTCTTGTCTGTCTTTCTGGAATTGCTGGGATATAAATTGCGGCCTCCTAGAGTGTTCTCTGCTTTTCTTTGCTCTCCAGTTTTTTTCTCTCTGCTATTTTGTTATTTCTGAAGGTTTCCTCATCTTCAATTTTGAATCCTGTCGTAAGTTTCCTTCCTAGCACCATGTTCTTAGCATCTAAGTGCTTTTTATAGGTCTCTGAATGTTCCTTTTCCTGGTAGCCTGTTTTGGGTTTTATGGATGCAACCTCTCACAGCTTTGAGAATACTGAGAGTTGTTTGTTCCCTGTGTAGTCCATGGACTCTTGTTCTTTTGAAGTCTTCGAGGTTTTTCTCCAAAGATCTGATAATCTGCTTGTATCTGGGTAGGAAGACCAAAAAACTCTGTTCACAGGGATGGGACTTGTCATCTCTAAGCTTCCCGTGTGTGTGTGTGTGTGTGTGTGTGTGTGTGTGTGTGTGTGTGTGTGTTTGTATGTATGTATCTATCTGAACCTCTGTTGGAGATGTCAGTATCGTGTTCCTCCTGAGCTGGCCAAGTTTTTGTAGAGATCAGAAGATCTCTAGCCTGGCGAGGGTCTGGCTGCTACTGTAGGGAAGAGACTGATGGTGGGAGAGGTTAGTGGTCTTGGCATTCAGAATGTATATGCTCACTTAATTCCTTTCTCTGAATGGTACTCATGCCCTCAACTATTTTTGGAGTAGCTCAGTCCCAAAAATCTATTTTACTCTCTCCAGAGAATAGCCCAGGTTTCTGCTGCCTGGGAGCATGGAGTCAGGGAGGGGACTGTAACTGTCTCTCAAATAGTTTTCACCGTCTTCTTAATGCTAGCTGTCTTCATCTACCTGTTGCTCATCTCCAGTTCCAGAAGTACTTGAGGTATAAAATTTCTTTCGCTTTTGAAGGATTCTGCAGTATAAGTCAGGTTGACTTTTAGCTTTGAAACAACAGGAGCTTAGGATTCTGCTTTCTTGGACTTGCTACATTGGTTACCTCTGGGCTATCTGCCTTCTAGTTTCAGGAACCTGTAGTGCTGTTCTGTCTTCCTCCATTCTTCTCCTTCTCAGAGATTTATATTTAAAAACAAATAAACAAATCCATGCTGTAGGCTTGGTGGGTCTGGAGGTTGTACAATTGGATGTGTAAGTTTGGTCTATCATGTCGATTTGGAAGTCTCCCAGCTTAGAGAGCCTCTCTCCCTGTGGGTAGGCAAGGGTCATCTGGCTTTTGAAGAAAGCTCTAACACAAAAGACAGGGGACCAACATAGGAGAAAAAGGAGCTAGATAGAAACAGTGATAATGCAGAGAGCAGAGGAGAGCATCTGTAGTAGCCCCAAAGATGGGGCATTTGAACACATGTAGAGGTCAGAGTACCATGGAGGGGAACATTCAGAGGCCAAAGAAAAAAACCCTTGAAGATGAAAACTGAGAGCTAACGTCAAGACTTCAACAAAAGAACTGGAAGGTAAAGTTGAGAGCATCTCAGCAATTGAAGGATAGAGATGAGTATTCTGAGCAGAGAGATAAATGTAAAATAATCAGTCCAGGAGGTCCAACATCCAAGAAAAGAGAGCTTTAGAAAGAGAAGAGAAAACTTCTGTGGGGGAAGAAATTGTAAAAGATATAAGAGAAGAAAACTTCCAACACAACTGTGAAAAATACAAAAAAAATACAATGGGAGGATTAAAGGACACGCATTTCCAGATTGAAGGGGCTTACCTGGCACCCAGCCTCTGTCACTAAGAGAGAAATCTCCCAAGTCTCAAAACACCAGGGATAAACCTTTCAGAGAGAGAAAAACCAAAATGCTTATTAATAAGGATTAAGAAAAAAATAATAATAAGGATTAAGTTGGAATGATATTAGCTTTTCAAACTAATTGAGACGAAAAGGTTTTAAACATAGAATTCTAGACCTAGCCAAACTGCTGGTCAACTGTGACACGTTTAGATATGCAAGGAGTTAAATTTACCTCCCATAGACCCCTTCTCAGCTAACTACTTGAGCATGTGTTCCATCAAAATGAGAGTAGAATTCTGTGAGACAGAGTCCAGGAAACAAAGGGATCTGACTTAGGATCATGGTCACGATGAGTCGGGCTAACACTGTGCTGCAGCAGCCCTCGGGACAAACCAGTCTCGACAAAAGTTGGGAAGAGAAGGCTCCAGAGGAAGCCGGTTAGAGGGGGATGGGGATACTTCTTATAGCTTATGTACATATCATTATGTAAAAATTGTATCAGGCATTGTTTCAGAGTTTTTACAGTAAGTTTAGGAAGAATTATAGTAGATACACAGAAGACTGAGGAAAAGGAACAGAAAAATCCAAATTCCAGGACAAACTAAATCTAACAGAAAAGGAAATCTCACAGTACACTGTTGAGCTCACTGACACATAGTATTTGCATAGCCAATAATAATCACTGAAAACTGATTTTAGAGAAAACAAAACTATGATACACATGTGTTGAGAGCATTGGGGAGGAGGAAAAAGGATACAGAAGTGGCCTACATCCTCACTGACCATAGTAGAAGTCAGTAGATGTAGTGTATAATCTGTACATCGGGAAATTCGGAGCACAGAGCGTATTCTTTAGGAATATGTGGGCAGGGTACCTGTTCAGTCACAGCCAAAGCAGTTGCCAAATTGGTTCTGGGGAGTGGCATTGGAGGGACCTTTTAATTGACTTTTTAAATGTATTTATTTCATTGATGAATGTTAGATACCATGGAGCACTTCTGTCTTATGTTCCTCTGAGAAAGCAAAAAAAAGTACCGTAGAAATTAACATGCAACTGATTAGATTCTACTTCCCAGTTTCAGAGAGATTAAAATATGAAAAGTCTCTTTAAGAATCAAGGAAATTGGGCAGCCTGGGTGGCACAGCGGTTTAGGGCCGCCTTCAGTCCAGGGCATGATCCTGGAGACCCAGGATCGAGTCCCACATCAGGAGCCTGCTTCTCCCTCTGCCTGTGTCTCTGCCTCTCTCTCTCCTCTCTGTGTATTCTCATGAATGAATAAATAAAACCTTAAAAAAAAAAGAATCAAGGAAATAGTATAAATGCCCATATTACCAATTAAATCAGACATTTAAATGTGTTCTTATTGTATTATGATTCTCACCTTCTTCTCTAAAAGCTATATTCCTATGTGTACATGAACTCCTGACCCTTCCTCTCACTTCATCCCTTGCTGGTCATGCTGAGAATCCTTGGGGAGGCTACCACCCGTAACACATAGGTACCTCAGGCAGCGAGCACCTGTGCAGACCAGAGGTGTGACACTGATGTCGAAAGGCTTTCCCCTTAGGGATGTGGCTTATACCCTGGACATTCTTGTTCTGTATTTGATATCACATTTTCAGCATCTCAGATTGAATATTGAGCATTCTAGAACAGCTGTGTAAGAGCAGATGCTTTGTTGGGGTAAACTACGGCATGCCCTTAGTGCTGGGCTGTTTTTCTGTGAAATTTGGAGCATGAAGATTCCTATTTACTTAGAAACCTGTATAGCAAAATTATGTCATCTAGAAGTTTATGCTTCAGCAAGTTATTATTAGGGCTTTGTAGAACGTAGCAAATACTGAGGAGATAAGGAAAAGAAGAAAAAGAAAAAAAAGAAAAAAAAAAAAAGAAAAGAACATCCCCCATAACCTCAGTTCTTTTAATTTGAACACTTAAGCGTCATCATCTCTCTCTTTTTGGGGCTTATCCCTGAGTAGTTTTTTTTTTTTTTTTTTTTTTTTTTTAAATTTTTATTTATTTATGATAGTCACAGAGAGAGAGAGAGAGGCAGAGACACAGGCAGAGGGAGAAGCAGGCTCCATGCACCGGGAGCCCGATGTGGGATTCGATCCCGGGTCTCCAGGATCGCGCCCTGGGCCAAAGGCAGGCGCCAAACCGCTGCGCCACCCAGGGATTCCCCCCTGAGTAGTTTTGAATCCTTTATTCATTTAAGCTCATACCCTGACCATCTAACATCACTGAATCTTTGGAAGCATGGGTTTTAAAATCAGCTCTAGGAAAGTATGGTTTACATACAATAAGATTCATTAGTGGGGCAGCCCCAGTGGCACAGCGGTTTGGCGCTGCCTGCAGCCCAGGATGTGATCCTGGAGACCTGGGATCAAGTCCTACATCAGGCTCCTTGCATGGAGCCTGCTTCTCCCTCTGCCTGTGTCTCTGCCTCTCTCACTCTCTCTGTGTTTCTCATGAATAAAAAAAGAAATCTTTTTTAAAAAAAAAAGATTCATTATTTTGTTAAGTTTTGACAAAAGTCACAATCACGATAAAGAATGTGTAATGTGTCATCGCCCCCAAGATTCCTCCTTGCCCTTTGTTGTCAGTCTCCTTCCCAGTACTTGGCAACCAGTGACCTGCTGAAGGGATGCTTTTTCTTGATGGTGTAAGAGTTTTTCTTCCATAGAATACATCCCTTTGTTGTGATTTTGGGTTATTTCTCGTCTTTTTTCTGTGACAGGCTGTGCTGAGCATTGTACATCATGACATAAGTCGATTCCCACAGGCTAAATCTTAGAAGTGGAACTGTCCTCGTGGGCGTTCTCTAGGTTTGAGTCTTTCTGTGCAGCATTTCCAGCCTAGAGATGGATTAGAATGCCCCAGGATTTGATGGGAGATCTTCAGCTGGCCTCAGCTACCCAAAGGTTTCTGGTTCTCCCTGTTCTTTGATTACCCTTGTTCTGAAAGCGATTCCCAGGTTCCCCTGGTGACCGCTTGGCATAGTTCATGCTCTCTTTTGAGGATATGCCCAGCCTTTTGTTGATGACATTTTTGTTTCAGATTAGTTTCTGATAACCTGATATGACCATTTTCAACAGGGAAGGTAGAGGTTTATAAAATGAACGGCCAATTCTTAATATACCAGCACTGTTTAGTATTTGGGCAGGCGGGGGGTCTGTCTTGTCCTCTGAAGGTGCTAGTTCTGCACCTGGCCTTGCTTTAGTGTTCTCAGTGGCTTGGTTGCTTGATTAAATGGATTACAATTTGCCTTTCTTAACTGCCGTTGCCTTTTCCAGGTGGAAGAGATTAGAAACACATGATGTTGTAATAGAGTGTGCCAAAATCTCTCTGGACCCTGCAGAAGCCTCATACGAAGATGGCGACTCCGTATCCCCGCAGGTGTCAGCGCGCTTTCCTCATCGTGCGGCTGATGTGGCCACCAGCCCTTATGTTGACACGCAAAACAGCTGTGGTAAGAGTGGCACCGGTACTTAACCTGCCTCACAGCTTTGTTTCTGGAAAGCATGGCTCATTTATATCAACTGTGTTTTCTTTTCCTGGGATAAAACTCAATTCAGCTCCCAGGAACAGTTTCCCAAATGTTGAAAATTAGAATTTGCCTCCAGTTTTTCCTGGTTAACCCGTCTTTCAGGTTTCATTCAGAGTCCTATGTCCTTGGTCTCCTACCCGAGAGTATGCCAGTGGGCTTGGGGGTGCGTTTTTAATACATAAAAAGGGAAATAGACTCAAGTTTTCAAATTTTAGGCAGCCCCCTCTCAGGGAGTCTTTCAGACACTTGCAGTGAGGCTCCTGGGCTGGGCTGTAGTACTGACAGAGTTTGAGCGAGTCTGGACAATTTAGAATTGGTTTCTAGAGGGCAGCCCCAGTGGCTTAGCGGTTTAGTGCCGCCTTAAGCCCAGAGTGTGATCCTGGAGACCTAGGATCGAGTCCCACGTCGGGCTCCCTGCATGGAGCCTGCTTCTCCCTCTGCCTGTGTGTCTCTGCCTCTCTCTCTCTGTTTCTGTCTCTAATAACTAAATAAAATCTTAAAAAAAAAAAAAAAGAATTGGTTTCTAGAAAAGGCAGGCTTAATCTGTAGGTAGTACCCACTAAAAGGGTCATCCAAGCTGTGCTTTTTCATGTTATCCTGAAACTTCACTTGACATCAAACTGTCCTGAACTTGGTGTGCCTGGGAGGCTCAGTCAGTTAAGCGTCCAGCTCTTGGTTTGGGCTCAGGTCATGGTCTGGATGGTCTCAGGGTCTTGGGAGCCATGCACTGGGGAGTCTGCTTGAGATTCTTTCCCTTTCCTTCCCTCTCCCCTGCCCTTCCCCCACTCTCTCCCTCCCAAGTAAATAAATACAATTGTAAAGAACAAAACAAAGAAATAGCCTTACTGAACTTTATTTCCAAAGAGCCATTTATTTTTTTTTTAATAATTTTTTTTTAATTTTTTTTTTAATTTTTATTTATTTATGATAGTCACAGAGAGAGAGAGAGAGAGAGAGGCAGAGACACAGGCAGAGGGAGAAGCAGGCTCCATGCACCGGGAGCCCGACGTGGGATTTGATCCCGGGTCTCCAGGATCGTGCCCTGGGCCAAAGGCAGGCGCTAAACCGCTGCGCCACCCAGGGATCCCCCAAAGAGCCATTTAAAGAGCCATTCAAATATTACTTTGTCCCTGGGATGTCTGGAGTCCCCTCAGTTTTCTTTTAAGTATGAACATTATCGAATGGTTTAGAGGGCCATATTTTTGTTGTTGTTGTTTTCAGAATAATTTAAAATCGCACACTAACCTCACATGTCCTTTCCCTTCATTTTAGGGAGTGCTACCTCGACCCCTTATTCCAGCTCTCGGCTGACGTTGCTAAATACGCCCGGGCAGCCACCTCAGACTCTGAGTCCCCCGTCGACACGGCTGTTGACTGAGCCGCCACAAGTATGGTGTTAAAGAGTGCCTGCTTGCTTCTCTGCTTGCTGGTGAAACTGTTTGGGTCAGGATTTAGCATATGCTTGGGAAAATCTCATTCTGCTCCTTTTAGGAGTTATTCTTAAGGACAGGTGGTTTTAGGAAAGTTAGTCACTATTCCCACTTGGGTTTCTCTTGGAGGCTAGATTTACAGAATGCCTCTTGTCTCATAATAAAGCTTTAAATAAGATGCCTTCTTCCATTTGGTCATGGATATAAGCCTTAGGGATGACTTGGTGTTCACTTCTCATTGCTGACATTTTGTATTAACTTCCCAGGCTACTCTTTGGAGCCCATCTATGGTTTGTGGTATGACCACTCCTCCAACTTCTCCTGGAAATGTCCCACCTGATCTCTCACACCCTTACAGTAAAGTCTTTGGTACAGCTGGTATGTATGTCTGAGGTGGGATTCAGTTGGTTGGCCTGGGCCCACTGTGCAGGGCAAGGAACTGTCTCTTAGATCCAGCAGTGAGTTAGGGGCTGTCTTCGACACCTCATGCTTTGCAAACTCTGGGGTTTTCAGAACCTAGAAAGTAAACAAAGATGGCTTTAGATCCCGAGAAAGTTCTCTAGCAGCTTTCTTCACTGTCCCAGGCAGGCTGAAAGAATTCAGAGTTTTGTAATAGGCTCAGTGATGGTGTATATGTTGTCCTTGTCTGTGAGCAGGTGGAAAAGGAACTCCTCTGGGAACCCCAGCAACTTCTCCTCCTCCAGCCCCATTGTGCCACTCGGATGACTATGTGCACATTTCCCTCCCGCAGGCCACAGTCCCAGCTCCCAAGAAGGTATGCACAGACTTGTCCATGGTCCTTCTGCCCCAGCACAGGGCCCTGAGTGCAGCCTCGCTCTGGGAAGGAAGCCTGTTGTGTCAGATGGAATTTGGACCTGAAATGTGATGGGTTTGGATCAGAACAACTGAAAATAGACTGGCTAGCAGCTCTCAGAGCATGATCTGCTTACCCTGGGAGGTGGATTGCTTTTGTAGTAAGACTAACCTGCTCTTTCCCCTTTTGATCACTTTGGCGCTCACACGCATGGTTCAGAACAATAGGGTGAAGGGCCCGCCCCCAGCACAAATCAGGGCAAGCAGCAAACTGTCCAGTGTGCATTGCTGCCTTCTTCCTTGGCATGTTTTCTTCAGTTTAAAAGAACAAAGATAAACCCGAAATACCAGTATCTTAAGAGAGGGCTATAGAAAGCAGTAAAGATGATTAATTTTATTATTATTATTTTTTGATTAATTTTATTATATCGCGACCTTTGACATTTCTATATGTTTAATATTCTTTGAGATAAAATAGGAGAGACATCACAAACACTTGTGCCGTTACTTGAGTTGATTGTTGGACCAGCTGCATTTTTTGTGGAGTACCAGTCTTATTTGGAAGATCAGCTGACTGACAAACTGGGTGGTTGTTTAGATCTGGGTGTGGGACAGGCTACTGCTTACGTGACCAGCTGAGTCTGTCACTTCAAAATAAACAATGGACAGTCTTTGCTGTCAGTGCTAAAATTTGGTTTTCAGGTGCAATTAGAATATGAAAAACCTGATCTCTGTCACCATGATCCTTGATAGCGTCTCCAAGACTTTTATGAAGAGATTGAAAAGTCCAGGAGAGCTTGGTGAATAATTGAGTTTTTGATGTCATATAGTGAATAGTTCCTCATTGGGAAACCCTGCAAAATGCGGCAAGCCAGTATCTTCTAAATGTCCAGCGTGTGATGTTTCAGAGCCACTGTAGGTAAAAGGTGCATTCAGAGTACAGAGTAGACTAGTGGACTTTAACACAGTATGAGGGGTGGAGTGCCATGGTTTCAGATCCTACACTATAACTAACCTTTAAGAAGTGACTCCTTGTCAAGTTTTGGTGTGACATTAAAGATTAAGTCTTTTTGTAACTACTTAACACTGGGGCTCAAAAGTTCCTACATATACTTTAGGCAAAATAACATATTGCAACAGATTGAAAGCAGAGGCCGACTTGAGCATCTAGCTCTCTTCCATTAAGCCAGATACTGAAGAGATAGCACAAATGTAAAACAGTTCCACCCCTCTAAGTTTCTTTTTATTGTTTTGGGAACTATGGTTGTTTTTCATAAAAATTTAAATCACTTAGGTTTACATGTAATGGATTTGTTATTTTTAAGTGAATTAGTAAATAGTTTTAAAATTTTTGGTCTGATTTCTGATGTAACTATCAATAGTGAGAACCACATAAATACAAGTTTATGGGACTTTCTTTTTTGATTTTTTATTTTTTAAAGATTTTGTTTGAGAGAGAATGAGAGCATGAGCAGGGGAGGGAGGGGCAGAGAGAGAGGGTGAAGCAGACTCTGCTAAGCAGGGAGCCCAGTGTGGACCTTGATCCCAGGACCCCAAGATCATGACCTGAGCTGAAGGCAGACACCCAACCAACTGAGCCACCCAGGTGCCCTGGACTCTCAGTTTTTAAGATCATAAAGGCACCCTGAGACCAAATAGTTTGAGAACCACTGAGCTAAACTTTAAACTCTTTTATATTGTGTTACAGTTTTAGATTTTTAGAATATGTATCTTACCTAAGGGAACGTAATTTTCTGCCGTGTGACTTAAATGGTACCTATCTTTTCAGGAAGAGAAAACAGATTCAGCAAGGCCCTGTCTACACAGACAGCACCATCTTCCAAACGACAGAGGATTAGGTAAAGTCTGGGTAACCCTAGACCTTGCTTGTCTCTTCTTAGGTTATCTGTGCAACGGAGAAAATTCAGGAACACCACAAAACAATGAAGCTCAGAGACAATGAAGTATAATTAATTCTAAAAACCAACCTAATAATAACACCAAAAAAAGCTTTTAAGCTATTGCAGTGAAGTACCTGTGACCTGTGTTTTGAGCTGGTCAGACTGTGGTATTTATCTGTTCTCTGAGACATTAAGAATGGAGGATTTTATTTTCTGTGGGATTATGTTTTTGGTACCTTTTTTTTGTTTTTTGTTTTTTTTTTTTTGGTACCTTTAATTAGACCCTTTGTGGTAGCCTTGCTTTCTGGAGTCACTCCAGGGAGAGTGGTTTCTAGCCTTCTCCCTTCACTTTGGCAGGAGGAATCAGTATGGATGTTGTCTATTGCTGTGCGAGCAGTGTTACAGTTGTGGGGGTTTTATATATGTGTGTGTGTGTGTGTGTGTGTGTGTGTGTGTGTGTGTGTGTATATAAAATCTTTGTTTTTCTTTAGAAGAGCTACCTGGCCTCAAAGGTTCTGTCACTCTAAGTGACCTTCCAGGGTTTTTAGGGGACCTTGCCTCTGATGAAGATAGCGTTGAAAAAGACAAAGAAGAAGGTAGTGTGTGGGATTCTGGGGTCGGATGCGATTGCTACGAAAACTGGGATTTAGTGTCAACGCTCCCAGGCTTACTTGGTTTTTCTTCTCCTGGGGGAAGGAGATGGGAGTTTTATTGTGGGTCCTATGCCAGGGAAAGGAATGCTGCTTTTACGGGTTGCTCTGGGTGGCCCTTAACCCCACACAGCCCCATGCTGCTTAGCCTCACCTAGATGGCCTGTTTACAGTGGTGTCTCTTACCTCCCTTCGTCTTCTCAGCGGCGATATCAAAAGAGCTCTCAGAGATCACGACGGCTGACACTGAGCCCCTGGTTCCTCGAGGAGGCTTTGACTCTCCCTTCTACCGGGACAGTCTCCCGGGCTGTCCTCGCAAGACCCATTCGGCCACCTCTGGTCCTCAGGGTACCAGTGTGAACCCTGAACCTTTCAACTCCTCCTTGGACAAGCGTGGGCCAGACACACCAAAGCAAGCCTTTACTCCCATAGACCTGCCCTGTGGAGGCACCCACGAAAGCCCTGCCGGGGACAGGGAGCGCCAGACTTCGCTGGAGACCAACATCCTCACTCCCAGCCCTTGTAAAATTCCACCTCAGAGGGGAGTGGGGTTTGGTAGTGGGCAGCCTCCCCCTTACGATCATCTTTTTGAGGTGGCATTGCCAAAGACCGCCCATCATTTTGTCAGCAAGAAGACCAAGGAACTGTTAAAGAAAGCAAAAGGAAACACAGAGGAAGACTACCCGCCCTCAACCTCCCCAGCAGAAGTCCTGGATAGGCTGATCCAGCAGGGAGCCGACGCGCACAGCAAGGAGCTGAGTCGGTAAGGGCCCAGCTGCTGCGTCCTTTCCTTAGGCATGCCCTCAGCATAAGATATCGGAAGTGCAGGAGGGGACAGGACTTGTTCTCTGTGTTCACAGAGGCAGCTGGCTCCTCTCTGTCCTCCCAGCTGCCGTCTTTGCGCGTGCGCAGCTGTGTGGTGTCCTCACCGCTGTCCTGCGAGGACGTGCTCACGTGCTCTCAGAATGTGAGGATGAGGGTCTGGTGTTAGGTGACCTAGGAACCTCTGTCTTGGTGTGTAGTCCTCCAGCTGCAGGTTTGGTTTTCCTGTTTGGGTAGCACGGTTCGGCAGATGGAAGGTCTAGTCAGTGGCATTTCAAGGGCAACCCAAGGGCAACCCGGGGGGCCCTACCCCTCCTCTGTGCTGGCACACAAGCTTTTCTAGGAGAGGCCTGTCTAAGCTGTTGTTCAAACCCTCCTCCTCCTACCCTTCCCACTGGTTAGGAGGGGGCTTGAGAATTCCAGCAGGTGGAATTTAACAGAGATTTGTCTTTTTGAATGAGATTTGGTGTAACAGGCTCAGGTACATTACCTACTTTTTCCTTAAACTTGGCTACCCGCTGTGTATTTCAGTGCAGAGGGTTGAAAATAGCTGGTAGTATGTTTGATCTCTCAGTCGCCTTGGAGAGTTGAGCAAACATTGGCCCAGGCGTGAGCTCCAAGGGAGGGCATTGGCACCCTGGAGACTCGGTCATGTTTGGTGGGGGCGTCGACCCTCCATCCAGTGCACGCCACCGCCTCTAACTCCCCGTGGACCTGGGGATTGAAACTTTCTTCTGCCTCTCCTGCTCTTGACCACAAGGATGTGATCTAGCCTTGCGCAATCAACAGTCCAGAGACGGTTGTCCAGGTGAGGTTGGTAACTTTATTCCCCCAAACCTTTCTTCCTAGGTTGTCTTTACCCAGCAAGTCTGTCGACTGGACCCACTTTGGAGGTAAAGTTGTTACTTGCACTTTAGGCCCAGCCTGTGTGGATCCTGCGTGCTTGTCGCCTTTTCTGTCCTCGAAGGAGGTGTGCCCTGTAGGAGCAGGTCTCCCCTCTGCTGTGGCTCCAGCCAGCGTATCTGCTTGGCCTCTATTGTCTCAAATGTTGCAACGCCAGCATTTCTACTTGTGAAAAGTGCCACGTAGCGTGTGTCTGAGGGTAGAAGTGCAGAGAGTACAAACCTTGTGCCAGGCTTTCCTAGGAAAGACCCTGAGGTCAGTGGTGCTGGAGCTGTGTCTGGGGGAGTACACAACATGGGAGAGAAGAAAGGAGCCTTGAGTAACTGTACGTATGGTTTGGGTCTGTGGGGAAAAGTCAGTGAAGCTCTTAGGAGTCCTGCCATGTTCTAGCTTTTTGTGTTCCTTTTTTTTTTTTTTTTTTTTTTTAAAGATTTTATTTATTTAGTCATAGACACAGAGAGAGAGAGGCAGAGACACAGGCAGAGGGAGAAGCAGGCTCCACACAGGGAGCCCGATATGGGACTCGATCCCAGGTCTCCAGGATCACACCCCAGGCTGCAGGCGGCGCCAAACCGCTGCGCCACCGGGGCTGCCCTTTTTGTGTTCCTTTAATGGGGAGCTGGGTAGTAAATCCTCTCCCCCCTCCCCTGGTACATGACTGTTGCTGAGACCCAGGTGACCATTTGCAAAAGGAATGGTGACTTGTTTCTGAAAGAATTGTGTTTCTTGAGCTAGGTAACCGTGGGAGGGTCTTGACGGAACCATCTGTAAAAGCCATCTCTGCCACCCTCCCTCTGCTTTAAAATCAGGCTCTCCTCCCTCAGATGAGATCCGAACCCTCCGTAACCAGTTGCTTTTACTGCACAACCAGTTACTCTATGAGCGTTTTAAGAGGCAGCAGCATGCTCTCCGAAACAGGCGGCTCCTCCGCAAGGTGATCAAGGCAGCAGCTCTGGAGGAGCACAATGCTGCTATGGTGAGCGTCACGGGGGCTACGTGAAAGGGGCATTCCAGTGTTTGTTGGTCATGTGTAGACAGTGGCCACTGAGTTGGGGCCTAAGCTTCCCGTCCTTGGTCTACTCAATGCTGCAGTTGGGGGTGCTGGCTGGGTCTCCAGATGGCCTTGCTGCTCTTGGAACCTGTGGGATGAGTGATTTTCATGTGTGTGTGTGTGTGTGTGTGTGTGTGTGTGTGTGTGTGTGTCTGTAATTGCCTAGAGTGATCATAGAGTATTATCTTGTTTCTCAAAATACAAAATCAACTCTCCTCAATTTATTTTATGGCAGACCTCTTGTAGCATAGTGGAGAAGCCAGTCAGACCTGGAGGCCAAACCTTGGCTCTGCCACTTTTTTGCCTTAAGAAAATAGCTTAGTCTCTTGCAGCCTCTTTTACCCATTCTGTAAAACAGGAATAATGATAATAGCACACACTTTTTAAGCGTGGTGCTTAAAGAAGTCATGTGACTACTTGCTCGGTGCCTGAGTGGGCAGCCAATAAATGTTCATTATTTTTGGTGACCTTGATTGATAGCATTTATTAGAGGTCTTTTGCCAGCACTGCTAATTAGCACTTTTTTTTTTTTAGATTTTATTTATTTATTCATGAGAGTCAAAGAGAGAGATAGGCAGAGACACAGGCAGAGGGAGAAGCAGGCTCCATGCAGGGAGCCCGATGCGGGACTCCATCCTGGGTGGAAGGCAGGCACTAAACCGCTGAGCCACCCAAGGATCCCCCTAGTTAGCACTTTGGAAGCTGTTGGGAGTAATTGGTACCTGAGAAAAGTTCTTCCAGCATCTTACGATCCATTGACTACTGTGAAATTGGTAACCTGTGACCTCTAGCCCAGCTGGACGGTTGTGAGCCGGCGGATGCTGGGGCCTGTGATGACAGCTTCAGGGTGGCGTGTGGCTGTTGGCATGGGTTACATGTGCTCCTCACCACTCACGTTTGAAGGCAGCTGAAATGATCACGTCTTTGGTCTCTGCTAGAAAGACCAGTTGAAGTTACAGGAGAAGGACATCCAGATCTGGAAGGTTAGTCTACAGAAGGAACAAGCCCGGTACAGCCAGCTGCAGGATCAGCGAGACACAATGGTCACCCAGCTCCATAGCCAGATCCGACAGCTGCAGCATGACCGGGAGGAGTTCTATAACCAGAGCCAGGAGCTGCAGGTATGGGCGGCAGCCCCAGACTCGGGCAGCCAGGAGAGGGCACACCAGCGCCTCACTCATCCCAGCCAACACAAAGGGCTTTTCTACACTGCAGCACATAGATTGCATTTAGGGCAAAGGTTCCCCGGCTCTCTTGGGTTGTCCATAGTTCCCGTAGCGGTTTGGTAACTTCCCTGGCATTCCACAGCCAAAAGTTTTGTTTTTTAAGATTTTATTTATTTATTCATGAGAGACACACACACAGAGGCAGAGACACGGCAGAGGGAGAAGCAGGCTCCATGCAGGGAACCCAATGTGAGACTCAGTCTCAGGACTCCAGGATCACACCCTGTGCTGAAGGTAGGCACTAAACCGCTGAGCCACCCAGGGATCCTGCAGTAACAGGTGTACTTGTTAAAGCAGGTCTAAACAATTTAGTATTTACATTCTGACAACTCAGCAGCTGTTTGAAAACAATACACTTAAATTTAAGTGGTATTTCTTTTTTTTTTTTTTTTTTTAGATTTTGTTCTTAAATGACCACAGTAACTTACCAGTTACTGTGTGCGCCCCTGTCAGACACCACATAGAGGCAATGACCTTGCAGTCACATTGGACACTAACACCCTCATTTCCCACTTCACACTGATATTCACATGGTGGTTTTTATCCCAACAAACACCTGAACCCAGCTCTGCAAAGATATTACGTCACCACAGGCTCATGCTCACTCTGAACTCCTCCAGTTTGTAATTCACATGATGACCGACAGGTGTCACTGGGTTCCTCTCAAAAATTTAAAATCTCACGGCAGCCCTGTGGTGGCTCCAGGCTCCAGGGTTCTTCAGTGCGCAATTTGGGGACAGCTGATCTTTTGTTCTTTTGCTAAACAAATCAAGAACTTAGGAATCAACCAAAACTTAATTCTTAAAACTAAGGAGCTAAATCCCAATGGCCCAAGAATAGTAGAGCAGCTGAGAGGCTGGGCTTCCCCACTCATCCGAGGGCCGGCAGCTGGGTGGTGCTGTGTAACTTCCTGGCACATCTCTTTGGGCAGACGAAACTGGAGGACTGCAGGAACATGATCGCAGAGCTGCGTCTGGAATTGAAGAAGGCCAACAGCAAGGTGTGTCACACCGAGCTGCTGCTCAGTCAGGTGTCCCAGAAGGTAAGAAATAGGTGTGGGCTTCTCCTCACATCTCTTGCTGACATTCTTCCTTTAGACAGGGCAAGTATATTACCTGAGTGCCTCCAGCAGGGGTTCCCACTCCTCAGGGGAAATGTGGCACTGTGTGGAGGCATTTGGTTCCAATTTTAGCATATGTCCTGCTGAGGTGAGCATGTGTGGGGGCATTTTTGGTGCTACTGACATCAAGGGGGCAGGGGCCTGGGTGCTGCACACACTCCACAACATACAGGACAGTCTCTGCAGCAGAGAATTGCCTGGGTGCACCTTGTCTGTGTGTGTCCCAGGGAACTCTTACTTAAATACTCATTTATGTAAACGTGGAAAGTTTGTTCCCGAAAAGTTCTTGAGTTGGGATCCCTCCCTTTTTGGGATTCACTGCACTCCGTATAAGTCACTTATGAACAAGTGAGTTTTCCTGTGCTTTAAACCTGGACCTCGTGTCCCCGCAGTGATGGTCACAGACACACCTGTCCTCTACAGGTGTCTTGTGGGTGGCCATTTTGATGTAGCAAATCTCTGCTGCTTTGCCTTTGCACAGCACCATTTTGAAGTGCATTTCTGTCCATCGTCGTGGCCCTTGGACACCTTCCTCACCAGCAGCCATTGCATTAGGGGATTTGAAACTGTGGGAGTTTATTGTCTCCTACCACCAAAACCCTGAGTTGTTAACTAGCTGGTCCCTGTGTACTGCGCATCTGCCAGATGTGTGCCATGGCATCCCTCACTTTGCCCGCCCCTGTGTTTTGGTTAGCTCTCAAACAGCGAGTCGGTCCAGCAGCAGATGGAGTTCTTGAATCGGCAGCTCTTGGTCCTGGGGGAGGTCAACGAGCTGTATCTGGAGCAACTGCAGAGCAAGCACTCAGATACCACGAAGGTATGCTGGGGCCCGGGGGGCCACAGCCCACGGTATGGGGGTGGGAACCCATAGGACGCAGGCAGCGTGTCTGCAGCAGGCCGCACAGGATGGTTCCCGAGAGGTCTAAGTGCCTTCCTAGTGGCCGTCCCCGCTCACTGGCCTGGTGGGTGAGCACTCTTCAGCTGTTGTATAGGCCTGTTTCCTCTAGTTGGCTTGCTTTGAAATTAAGTCAGGGGTAAGTGAAAGCATCTCATGGTAATTGGTACAGAGTAGCTGGTAAAGGGTTTGTCTTCTCTTACCTGTGCCCGCTTCAAGAGGCAGAAGGAGAGAGAAACAAAAAAAGGATAGGGAGCCAGTTCTGTTGAACATAACTTTTAGGAATGTGGGTATATACTGGTATACGTATTTTTTCTTCCTTTTTATGTTGAATTTAATTTCAGCAGATGGTGGTTCAGTCCTGGCAACAAGGCCAGCATCGGGATGATCTTACACTAATTAGTGTCTCACCAGTGGTGTTGAGGCAGAAGTTTTATGTCACTTCATAAATAGCCTCGGGTAATGTTAGTGAATGAGTCGGGAATGAGTTCGAATGGAATTTTAATAGTAAATGCTCAGATGCTTCCTGTCACTAACTTCTCCATCACACACAGGTTTTCTTTTTAGGATTTCTTGGGCTTATGCTTTGTAAAGCTCCTTTTTTGACCAAATGTAAAAAGTAGTCTTAGAAACAAAGAGATGCAATTTTCATAATAGAGTTACTCCTTATTTCTCAGCTCCTCTCAGCTCTCAGATCCAGACTCCCTTTAGAAGGATGTTAAATGTGGAACTTTCTAGAAACCAGCTAGCACTCATTTTGGAGGTATAATGGGTTTGGGAAAGAACGAGGGGTAAACAGACCTAAGAGACAGGAGAACCTCTGAAAATGCTGACTGAAATGCATTCCTCATATCTGCTGAGAGAAGTCACAGCTGGGCTGGCCTCTCTGGTGCTGCCTTCAACTGGAACACTTGGATTCCCGGGGCCTCTGGAGCCACCTGACCTCTTGGGGCCCTGCTTCACACTCCCTAAGGAGACGTGATGACCCTGACATACAGCAGTTAGGATGCCTGCATTCATAAGCCGGAACAACAAAGCCCACTAACCCGGCTTAACAGTAAGAAGTTGCTTTCACTTGACAAGAAGTCCCAAAGCAGGTGAGTTCCAGGCTGGTCATGTAAGCAGTTTATGAACAGCATCAGAGAGTCTCGTTATGGGGCATCTGACTGGCTCACTCGGTAGAACGTGCCACTCTTTTTTTTAGGATTTTTTTTTTTTTTCCTAAAAAGCTCCCAGTTCTTTCCATTCTCCTGCCTCACCTGACATATTGCAGCAACTTTGTCCTCTGGCTGGCTTGCCGATGGTTGCATGGTGTATGCACAGGTAGGGTGCTCACAGATAGACACCACTATTTCCCCTGGAAGAGGAGAGGTCGCTTCCTGTGGGTCTCTCTCAGTGAGGAAACTTTGCCAGGAACCCCTTACCAGCCTTCCCACCCTTGCTGTTGGCTAGAATTGTGTCTTGTGCCCATTCCTAGCTCAGTCATTGCCTTGAACCTGTCAGGATTTGCCCTTGGGCCAGGAGTCAGGCTTCCTCTTGTTCAGTCAAGTGGGGAGGCAGGGTGGTAGTATCTGAGGGTCAATTGGGCTTGGCTGGTAGGTGCTGAGTATAGCACCTCCTGTGGTGGCTGTGAGGGTTCATGGAGGCACATGGATGCTCCTAGTTCAGTACTTCCTTTGATTCTCCATAAAGAGCTACTGTCACTGATGACAAAGGCCCGATTTGTTCACCTAACCTGTGTTGAAGTCTGGAGCCCTTGGGCACAGCTAGAACGGTCACATGATCTGGTGCGCAGTTCTGAGTGTAAAGCTGTGGAGTTCCATGCACCAAGAAAGCATTCACTGCTAATCTTCAAGGCAGGGACACTTCCATGGAAGCTCATCTCTTTGCTATTTAGGGTTTATCTTTAAAAAAAAAAAATCTATGGTAAGTTTTATGTTATGTATACCTTACTGCAGTAAAAAACACACAACAAGAACATAACACATATTTGTTAGAAGAATGTTCTTTCTGTGTCTCTCCCGAGCATGAGTGTACACTTGCCGTGGGTTCACCTGGTTTGGTCTGTCGGCAGGCAGCGCATCTGCCTGGCGTGATCTGTAAGCCTGCAGGGCAGCCTGCCCATCATGCTGCGCCCACTAGTTTTCCCTTAGTCGATGTGAGAGGAGAAGAATCTAAAAGAAAATGAAGCACCCACGACATCACTGTGTTGAAATTTTAACTGAATATCTATATGGTTTCATTCAGTGTTTGTGATTGTCAGCGTTTATGTGGTTGATCCTACTGTTCATGTGGTTTTATGTAAAGCCTGCTTTTTTATCTTTTTACTGACACATAAACTGTAAGTTTACTAAAAACTTGAAAGTATATTCAAAATGTACCTTAACTCACTTAACTGTTCTCCTGGCATTAGACTAACAGTACTTTTTTTTGCCCTTCTAAACATGCTGCATGATTCTTTTCGTGCCAAAATGTCTAGTCTTGTTTCAAATGATTTCCTCGGGCAGATTTCCAGGAGGGGTTACTAGATTAATACTTTCGTCCAGCTTACTTTGTAGAAAGTTGTACCAAATCCGATTTCCAGCAGCAGTGCACCAAAGTGCCTCCTCAATGCTTAGTGCCTCGGTTTTGCACAGTGGATGCAGCACATTTGTTTTCTCAGGGACTAACTCCAGCCCCTCTTGTAGGAGGTAGAGATGATGAAAGCTGCGTGTCGGAAAGAATTAGAGAAAAACAGAAGCCACGTTCTCCAGCAGAATCAGAGGCTCGATACCTCTCAGAAACGGATTTTGGAACTGGAATCTCACTTGGCCAAGAAAGACCACCTTCTTTTGGAGCAGAAGAAATATTTAGAGGACGTCAAAGTCCAGGCAAGGTAACTCCCGTGGGGACAGGTTTCTGCAGTGATGTGTTCCTCTGTTGGTAGGGCATTTTATATTCTGGGGTGGTCTGTATTTCAGAGGACAGCTGCAAGCGGCAGAGAGCAGGTATGAGGCTCAGAAAAGGATCACCCAAGTGTTTGAATTGGAGATCTTAGATTTATACGGCAGGTTGGAGAAGGATGGGCTCCTGAAGAAACTTGAAGAAGAAAAAGCAGAAGCAGCTGAAGCGGCAGAAGAAAGGTAGGAACAAAGAGGCAAGAGCAGGAGCCTCGTCCCTGAGCTGCCAGCAGCAAAACAGGGCATGCTTCTCAGGGCATGAGAACCCTCCATGCATTAGGCAGGACTGCGGCACTCAGACTCCCCCTGTGCCCGGTGGTCTCTCTGCGTCCCTGTCCTTGGCCCCGAATCGCGAGATGTAGTCACAGGAGGTGTCCTCGTGTGCCATTTGTCTCCTGTCCCCCGTTGAGACTCGGTTTCTCTTGCTGAGACCTCACTCTTGGGTTCTCTGCTCTAAAGTGCAGAGCTCGGTGTCTGTGTGAGCATGCCATTGTAGTTGCATGGCTCCCAGCACAGATGCTGCCAACACTGTCCCTTTTCTCCCCCCTGGATTTCTTATAGGCTTGCCTGTTGTAAGGATGGCTGCTCAGATTCTGTAACAGACCACCATGAAGAGGCATCTGGCCACAACGGCGAGACCAAGCCCCCCAGGCCTGGTGGTGCACGGGGCAGCAGTGGAAGTAGAGGGGGTGGAGGTGGCAGCAGTGGCGGCAGCAGCAGCGAGCTTTCAACCCCAGAGAAACCCCCCAACCAGAGGGCAGGCCTGTTCAGCAGTCGGTGGGAAACGACCGTGGGAGAGCCTGCCACCAGCATTCCCACGACTGTCGGCTCCCTTCCCAGTTCAAAAAGCTTCCTAGGCATGAAGGCACGAGAGTTATTTCGTAATAAGAGTGAGAGCCAGTGTGATGAGGACAGTGTGACCATCAGTAGCCTTTCTGAGACGCTAAAGACAGAACTGGGCAAAGACCTGGGTGTGGAAGCCAAGATTCCCCCAACCCTTGATGGCCCACACCCCTCCCCCCCGAACCCAGACAGTGTTGGACAGCTCCACATCATGGACTACAATGAGACTCATCATGAACACAGTGAAGGATGACGGTCAATCAGTGTTAACTTGCAGGTTGTTGGCATAGAACAGGAAGTGTGAATGCTCGTTCCCAGGCTTTCCTATTTCTAGGGTCTGGGTGGCTAGCTCACGCGGTGGAAATGGGATGGAGGTCCTTTTGACAGTTGACTGAATGCAGAACGGTTTTTGGATCTGGCATTGAAATGCCTCTTAACTTTCCCCTCAGCCCACTCCCCAGCCTGTCTTTAATTTACCCAGCAGTGTGGACTAATCCGAGGGCCAGTTTGCGTTCCTCAGTAGCTTTATTTTCTTCCTTCCCCCACAATGGTTGCACCCTTTGAACCTGTGCAATATGAGGCCAAATTTACTCTTTGAGTCTAACACACCACTCTCTCCTTTCCTGAAACTTGGAGAATGGGTTGGCTCTCCGTTAGCCCAGGTAATTGGTGGTGTTGCAGGTAAGTCTGGTTTTATCCCTTTCCACGGGGATGTAGCTTGCAAGGCTGGTCATCTTCATGTGGAAACTTTTTACATGAGACTTTTTCACTGCTTTTTGGTTCTGAAGTTCAGCATCTGAAGCAGCAGATCTAGAGAAACAATGGTTTATTCACCCTTACGTTCTTTTGGCAGTTCTGATAAGCTTCTTAGAAAGTTCTGTGTGAACAAATGTCTGTTGTTAGAGAAGTCTGGAACTGGCACTGTGGAGACCATCCTTCCCCTTAGGGAATGCTCCATCCCCTTCCCCCCTACCTCTTATTTATTTGGTGTTTGCTGGAAAGCTGGGACTGCTCTGACCAGGCTGGCATGGGGGCAGTAAAAACCTACTCTCTGCAGGAGGGAAGGTTGGTGGCTTGAGTAGTTGCCCGAGAAGCCCTTGTGGATGGGGAACTGCCCCTGGAGCAGGGATCTGCTAGCTGAGCCTCGTGGTTCATCCCTACCCCACTCCCCCCGCACCCTGCCACCGTCTGTCTGCCTCTCTCCCTTTGTGTTCCCATGAGCCTCTTTAAGGCTTTGAGTTTATGTTTCTTGGTGATGCTGCAGCAGAAAGGCTCTGAAGGTCCAAAGAATTTCTTCATTGCTTCTCAGGCTGGTAGAGCCGCCTCACCATTGCAGGTTCTAAACCACCAAAAAGGTAACAGCTTTCTCACATCACCTTAACTTTCTGGGGCTGGCCCTCCAGGGAGCTTGATCCTGCTCCCTTCCTGCATGTTAGTAATGGCTGAGCATTGACAAAGTTAGTCTGACATGCACCCTGGGATGACCACACATGCTCAGGGGAGGGGACCCAGCACAGCATCTGAACTCAATGCAGGCTCTGGAGGTTGATGCTAGAAGCCTAAGAGTTGTTGCTTAGTGTCCTTGCTGAGGCAGGGGGAGACTGGTAGGAAAGAGCTGATGAACTTGGTTTTCCTCTTTTTATTCTTTGAGTTAAAAGAGGGGTCAGCCATGAAAGGGGAAAAGACGGATTGTAACAGTACGAAATCTTACCGCATACAGAAGCTTCCAGCATGTGAGGGTAAAGGTCTCTTCTATGTAGTATTGCAGTAAATATTCTAGCACCTCTGACCAGAGGGAGCTAGGTCATGAGAGATGCTGTGTCACCAAGACTACAAGGGCACAAGGCCTCATCAGGACAGAATCTTCAGGTGTGCTCGACTGTGCCTGGCCTGGCCCCACCTGGCAATTGCCGCTGGATGTCCTCTGTGGACTACTGATAACCCCATGTGGTGAATTTGTCCAAAGGAAAGCTTAAAATCGAGTATATCCTATTCCTACTTCAGTTTTAGAAAAGGAAAACAACAAATTCAGAAAGGGAAAAAAATGTTAACTGGATACCTACTGAAACCAGGTCAAAATGCTCACCCTCCCCCAGCCCAAGAGACCTGTGCCACAGAACAAAGACACCCGGCATTTAAATCAAAGCCTTTTCCCTGATTAATCAGCAAAGGCAGAGGCCAATGTAAAGAAAGAAAAACCTTTTAAAAAACATGGGCAGATTGTAAAAATCCAGGGAAGGAGGTGGCCACATGGTGAAGTGGGCTGCAACCTGTGCTGGAGGCTCCAAGGCAGGTGTCTGGGCCCAGGGCCCTTGGCACATCCCTCCTGCCCAGCTGTCTGCTCAGCTCGACAACCACAGCCCACCCAGGGGAGCTGCGCTCAGCCTCCTTTGGGTTCTAGCGGGCCATGCGTTTTGTTCAGCCAAGGCTGGGGCATTGAGGCCTGGATGCATGTTGAAGTTACCCAGCCTAAACAGTTTCAGGAATCAAGTCAGTAGCCAGATTTAGTTCAGTTTTAAAAACTATAAACCTGCCTGCCAGGAATCAACAGGTCACTTGATCGGGTTGTGGCAAGTTTTTTTAAGGATGGAAAGGTGATAGTAGAGGGACACTAGAGAGAATTTGAATATGGGAGCCAGCAAGGCAAATGTTTTAGAATAATTAGCATCAGGGGCAGAACCAGATGGTTCAAGCGGCTTGGTGTTGACCCACGTCGGGCTTGAGCAGCCTCCACCCCACCACTCAGAGCAGGCTTGTCAGCCTCAGGGCCATGTGGCCAGTGTGCGTAACCTGCTCTGATCCCCACATGACACTAACCAGGGTCGGCACAGGCCCTGCGATTGGAGTCTGCTTCTTGGGTAGCATGAAATTTGTTTTCAAAAGCAGCACTACAGTATCAGCGGTGGGGGTCAAGGGTGGGGTGGGGCAGGGGCGGGCGGAGATGGCAGCATTGTCTCCACAGAGAAGGCACATTCCTGAGTCTGCTGTAGGACAGATGCACATGGACCTCTCCCAGACAGGACTTTGAGGGATTTTAAAAAAGGTTTTGACAGGGTTTTGCCATAAAGTCCACAAAAATTGTTAGTATGATATTGGAAGGAGGGGCTTGTCATGGGTGAGAAAACAGATCCAAAGGCAGGACACAGAGGAGACAGGGGTCATTTTTTGGGTCAAGAGGTTTTTTTTAAAAGCATCCGTGCAGCTGAGTGCTAGGCCCAGCTGGGTGCGGCAGGTGGGCACACGTGGCCTCCCTAGTGTTCAGCTGTGTTTCAGCTGCTAGGGGTTCATACCAGGCTCCGGGAGCACAGATGGAGGCGATAGGTTAAGCTACTGTGTGAGCCGGAGTGCATGTGCTGTGCAGAGGGGAAGAGGCCAGCTCTCCTGAGCAGGGAGCCTGGGAGTCCAGCAGGCCGCCGTGGTCCCAGAGGCTGGCACATCACAGAGCAAAGTCAGGACAGCAGAACATGAAACTCCAGGCCCTGAGCTGGCCCCATTTGCCACCACCTGTGTAGTTTCCAGTGGTTTTGTCACAAAAGGCCAAAGTCTTGCTGTTGCATACGAGGGGGTGACTGATACAGTGGCGGCAATGAGGGGATCCCTATGAGCTGGGCCGCAGCAGTTCAGACTCACGGTTTCAAATGAAAAATTGGGTGTCTGTGTGTAAAGACTATAGCATGTGCTATGAGTAGACAGTGGGAGTTTGTACCAAATACTAGAACATGCCACTCGAAGCCAGAATGGAAGACAAGTGAGAGGAAGTGCCACATGCAGATGACTATTTCTCTGATGGAGACCCCTGAGAGGTGGCAGGAAGCCATGCAGGTGTAAGAAGGGTGTGGGCAGAGTGGAGGCCTGGTCCCCAGCTGCTGGGCAGGTGAGGGGCCACCCAGCCTGGGAATGTTCTTGGAAGAAGCCAACCCCTCTTGGGGTGGTCCCTGACGAGCACAGTCCCACCCAGAGCTTGTCTCCTGCGGGGAAGAGAGGGGCTCCAGGAATGACCCATCAGCACACCTCCCTGTCCACTCCCGAGGCACACGTGCCGGAACACGTCTCCAGCACCACCGTGTCTATGTATGTGCTTCTGTCCAGAGTTGTGTCACATGAGCCTCCCTGACACTGCAGAGGAATCAGTGCCCTTGATGGCGCTTTTCTGTATAGGTGAAAGAGCAAGTTTAGGTTGGGGCCTGTCCTGAGGCTGCTGCTGTGACCCTTGTCTCCTTGAGCCTCATGTTCCCGTCCTTGCCTGTCTGACATGCATGGGGAGGGTGTTTCCATCTTTTCCACACCGTCCTCCAGTCTGTACGTGCTCACCTGAGAGAAGAGGGAATCTTGCCCGGGATAGTGAGCACCTGTGTCCACAACTGATTCTGGCCTTGAAAACAATTACTGAAAGCAGAGGACCCTCTGCCCCTTTCCCTTCCCCTTTCCCCTTCCCCTCCCTTCCCCTTCCCCCTTCCCCCTTTCCCCTCCCCCCTTTCCCCTTCCCCCTGCCCCCTTCCCTTCCCATTGTCACTGAATTGTCCATCCTGTGGGATAAGTAGGATAGTTGAACCATTGGAATAGATCTTTTAGAGGAGAGTCCTGAGCGTTGAGACCCCCTCCCGCCAATGTCAACCCCTCATCCTTTCCCCCACCTTGCTACAGTGTTTGGACAGGAGGGTACGGCGCTGCTGGATGCAGCAGATACTTTGGCTGATCAAAGAGGCGGCCAGGCATTTTGCACCAGGAAGAATCAGTGATCACTTTTCAGAAGACTTCTATGGACCATAATAAACATATTACGGAGGAACAGATTTTGCTAAGACGTAATCTAGTTTTATAACTCAATCATGGATCAACCACATATGGCTAACTTGCAGTGTAAAGGGATCCCATCAGTGAAAAAAAAAAGATTTTTTTAAACTGCTTTTACTTAAGTTTGAGAAAGTCCTCTCGTCAAAAGGTTTAAACCTTCCCGCCTCGATCTTAAAAAGCATGTCAAACAATCCACGTCAGATGCCATAAACAAGAACTGCGAGAGAAAATGGTACAATCTTAAATGAATGGGAATTGGAATCAAAAGGGTTTGCTGTCCTTCTTAGAATGTTCTAAAATGTCAAGGCAGTTGCTTGTGTTTAACTGTGAACAAATAAAAATCTATTGTTTTGCACTACTCTGCTGTGTTGACATGAAGTGACTCATGCTGGCCTCCTAAGGCCTTGCAGGTAAAGCAGGGACCTGTCTGGATGCAGGGGGCTCCTGGCTTGGTTGGCTTCCTCGGGCAGCTGGAGGAGGGGCTGACAAGTAGAATCTGGCTGTGGTCTCTGTAAGTCCCCTTGTGTTCTAGCCAATGACCTGGCACAGCCATAGGTCCTACCTTTGTCTGCCTCAGATCCCTGCCTTTCCCCTGGAGTGGCACGGGGACATGGGAGGGGTGACTTGAGTCATCTCCAAGATGCTCCCGCCTGCTGGCCTGCCCTGCTGTCCATGCTTAGAGTGTGCTCACCTCCCTGGGGGTTGCTGGCCGTTGGTTTTAATACAGTCCTTTTGGGGCAGCCATGGTGGCGCAGTGATTTAGTGCCGCCTGCAGCCCAGGGTAATGATCCTGGGGCCCCGGAATCGAGTCCCATGTCAGGATCCCTGCATGGAGCCTGCTTCTCCCTCTGCCTGTGTCTCTGCCCCCCACCCCCGTCTCTCATGAATAAATAAAATCTTAAAAAAAAATAGTCCTTTTGGTGGAGCCCAACAACACCGAGGTTGTCAAGAGCTTACTGGTCTGGCGCAGCCCGCACCCACCACCTTCCTTCTGTGATGTTATTGGGTGTTTGGAAGATGGCAGGAAATACCTTACCCAGCTGTTAGATCCAGCCTCGCCTCACATCTCTTCCTGGGAACGCACATTTCCAGCTGCCCCCGGACATCAGTGTGCTCTGCCCATGTTAATGGCAGAAGCAGACTCAGGTGGCAGTTTTTTATTTTGTCTGGAAAATTCAGAGGTCTATTCAGATTCTCATCTGAATAGCTTCTGACTATGGAAGGAGTCCCTGTGCCGGCCTGTGGGTCTTTGGCATGAACCTCCTGAGTGCAAGCATCTATAGTGGTTGCTCTCTGCTCACGGTTTGCTTGTGAGGCTACTGCCCAGTGTCCTCTGAGGGCTTAGGATAAATGCAGTTGTCTTTAAGGGATAAGTCCCAGGAAACCCGAGCCAGGCAGAGAGGTAGGAGAACACTTTTTATTCTTGATGGTTGCGCTCGAGGAAGCAAGAATACAGAAGCTAAGTCGCCCCCTGTGAAGGGAAAAACCAACAGTCAGAGAGAACTTCCAGCAAGCTCAGAAGCCAGAGACACATTTTATAATGTCGGGGCCTTCAGTGTTGTGAAAATCAGGTAACCGTCCTTGCACAGGAGCCATAAGACCAGAATTCTTGCGGCTTCTTGCATGGTCTCCCTCTCCCAAGTAAAAGAGAAGCGAAGGCAGGTTCACTCCACTTTGGGTTTTGGCCCAGAGACCTAATCACACTGAGGAAGTTCGTCATGCTGGCCCTCAGCCTCCCGGCAGGCCGAACAGCCCTGTCTTGCAGAGAGCTGAGCCTTGCCTACTTGCCCCTATGGCGGGAAAGGAGCTCAGAGGCCTCCAGCTCGGTGGATCAACCGGGAAAGCCAGACCTGCAGCGTGGCCGGGCCTGGTAGGGTGCACGTGGGCAGGCCAGTGGCCCCAGCTCTCAGCTGCCTCCCCAGAACACCCTCTCCCAACAACACTGGAAGTGGGGGTCCTCTTCATTGGCACAGACCTTGACACTCAGAGGCAAGAGCTTAGAAGTTAAAGTGAGAAAGGAGAGAGGTTCTCGACAGTATATTGGGCAGGCCCCCTTGGGGTTCATCAGTGGCAGGGGCTGTGGGTGCCAAAGAATGGATCAGACAGCGGAGACCAATTTAAGTGACAAAGCACTGTACGGGACGCAGGTTGTCAGCTCTGAGTTACAATTTCCCGCCAGGTGGTCTCCAGGGAGGTTTTGAACATCCTTGTCATTCCTCCTAGGTTTGGGGCTGTCTTTTGTAAGTTGCCTACATTTGTGTTTTCTTAACCGAGGCTGGGTGCCTGTGGTCCAGGAAGGATGAGTGGCCGCCGCCCCGATGGCTTCCTGGCATGCCTGGGACTCACTCACATGCTGCAGTGCTTTGCGGGGCAGCTTCTCCGAGTGGGCGATCCATTCTTTCATTAAGTCCAGGACGATGGGGATGAGGCTGACGACGCCTCCGTAGTGATTCCTGGCCTCGTCACAGCTTAGGTGGTTCACCACATCATGAGGGTACCTGTGGGGTGGCAAGAGGGACTCATCCAGACCTGGGGCAGGCTCTGATCCAGACTGCAGACATCAGAATCCCCTGGGGAGGTTTCAGGGCCGCATGGGCCATACCACACTCTCTACCAGATGTTGGGCAACAAACCCTAGCTAATCCTGTTGTGAGGGGCAGGACTCTGGAACCACTCACCTGTGGTTGTAGAAACCCAGATTAGGGGCTGTGGAAACCTGCCATAACTGCTCCAAAATGTACTGCTTAGTCCCTCTGACTCTTCTTCACCCCAATAACTAAACCATATGCTCCAGAATATGTGCTGAGGGCGCAGAATTAACTAGGTAGCCACACTGGCAGGGCTGGGACTTCTCTGTGGGCTTCTGGGAACATGTGCTCTGTGATCCCCTTCCCTTTGCCGGGTGTCAACTCCAGTGAGAGGGCTTGCGTCCCACTCTATCTTCAGCTTCAGTAAAATGATCGGTGGGGTTGGGCCATCCAATAAATCAGTGGGCCTGGGATTTCCCACCTGGGCAGGGGGCCTGGAGGCACCTGCCCTCATGCAGAAGACTGCTTCTTCCTGCTGGGTCCCTTCTCTCCAGCCCCGCCCTGCTGCCTGGGCCTCCAAAACAGGCCCAGAAGCGACTTACTTTGCTCTAAGGTTGCTTAGGTCATTGCTTTGGCTAACCAGGGATTTGCATTTCTCAAGCAGGTTGTTGGTGACCGGAGTGCCAGAGTGCAGGGCCTCAAAGTGCTGGCACAGCTTGTTCAGCTCCGAGCAGATGTCCAGGAACATGAGCAGAATGCGCCGGTCTGTGGAGTTGTTGCAGTAGTGCTCTGTGTAGCTCTGCACCTGTGAGGGCCCACACGATGGGAGCTGAGGCAGCACCACTGGGCCCCTGGTGAGTTTCTGGGCCAAACACCAGGAAGCAGCACCCCACACCCCTGTTCCTCCCAGCCTCCCAGAGTCACAGGGCAGAGGCCAGTCACATTGAAGCATTTGCATGCACAGGCTGCTATATACAGTTAACATCATGGAGTGCCCCCTGCACTGTGCTGAGCTTTGCGGCCTGGCCCTCACAACACCCTCACCTGAGCCCTATGCGCTGGGTGCCTTTTCAAGTCCTTATTTTGCAGGTGACTAGTGGGGGCTCATAGAGGTCAAATCACTTGCTCGGGCACCAGGGAGAGTGGCCAGGCTGGCCTTTGGCCCCAGTTCTGGGCCCTGAGCTCCCACCTTGTACCAGGCCCCACACACTTCAGCCCATACCTAAAGAGGGGTGCTCCCTGACCTTTCATGCCTCAAGCCTGCTCAGAGGACCCACTCCTCAGGAGTGAGAAGCAAGCAGAAGGCACTACAATCCTTTGAAGTTTCATTGTCCTATGTTTCCAGGGCCTCTCCCTGGGAGAGGGATCTTCCATAGGAGAAGAAAAGGTAGTCTTTACCTCACACCACACACCGAAATCAACTCTAGGATGAAGAGCTTCAATGCCAAAACAACACGGAAGCTCCCAGGTGTTCCAGGTACAAGAGCAGGGAAACCTTTCTGAAATCATTAAAGGTGCTCAGAATGGTAATATGGTTGATCCACTTTTAACTCTCCTCAGGGGGCATGGAGGTCCTTCCCTGGCAGGGGCTCTTCCCCTCCATGCAACCTCCACCCCCCCACCTCCCCCACTGCCCTGCCCATCACTCTGGATCTGAGGTCGGGAGAGGCAAGAGGCCTAGCCGTGGGCTGAGGAGGAACTGGCTCCGGTCCAGGCCAGATTCACTGGCCCACTTCACAAACGCATGCCCTGTGACAAACTGGTGGCTGGGGGCATTACCTCCTTCCTCTAGCAGCCAGAAATTCCTAAGTCTAAGCCAGGGTTTTCCTGCCACTGCCGGTTGCTTTTCTTTTGCTGGGGTGAGGTCTTCCCAAATGATCTGAGTGGTTCCTTCTAAGGACAGCAGCTCTGTAAGAGGGGGGAGGCTCTGGCGGCCTCCATGGATGCGGGGCACCACGTCCAGCCACCTGAGGCACCACGCTGTAGCTATAACACAGAGTCACCCGGCTATCTGGTGTGTGTGCGGGTTACCTCAGGATAACCCAGGCCCAGGGAGGGCAGGGCAAGCACCAAGAATCAACAGTTCACACAGAGAGTCAGACCATGGGGCATTGTTTACCAAGAGCCTCCCGCTGGACTTAAGGCAAGGAGGCCACTCCCCTGTGCGCATGCATTGTCAGGGGTCACCAACTGCTGATGCAGACTCTGAGCAGAGGCTGGGGTTGGGGGTCGGGCTGGGGGTGTGGGTCGCGGTGGGGGTGTGGGTCGCAGATGTTCCTTCCCGACGCCAAAAACCTGTCCACTGGCTTTGGAAGTCTGAGCCATTGGGGAATGGGCTAGAAAGGCTGTGGCTAACTTCCAAATAGTTCAGGGCAAAGGGTATTTTTCTGTAGGTTTAAAACTTTTCAAGTTAAAAAACTGGGCGAAGCTTTTACATTTATTAGACGAATGGATTTTTAAAGGATGCTGCCAGCAAGGGTTGCTGTTCTGGGGGGGGGGGCAGGGGGCGCACACGTGCTTCTCCTAAGGAGTTCTGAGTTCCATTGCCCACCCCCACCCCCACCCATGCACCACTGGCCTTCCACAAGCTGGCCCATGGGCCCGCAGCACGTCTACAGTTGGGAGGCTCCCACCCAGGTGTGGGTTACTTCCTGGAAGGCGTGTCTCATCTCCAGGCCTCCAAGTCCTGCAGAGCACACTGTGATAATCTGCACACGGGAAGAGCAATGTGCCCAGCACGGTGCAGTTTCTCAGGCCCCAGTGGGATCGCACAGCCAGGACCACAGGCATCAGACACGGGCGGGGCGTCTCCCTCATGATCTACCTAAATCCACATACTCCCTGGGGATGTGCAGTTGTTCTCACTCTACAGAGCAGACGACTGGGACACAGGTGACTCTCGGCCTGAGGTCCCTGAGGGGCCGTGGGGCTGAGCTGGGATCTGAACCCTGGTCGGCAGGCTCCAGCCCTCATGTGTAACCACTTTGTTATTCACTCACATATCTGGGGAGGGGATGCAGGGCTCATCCCACTAGTCCTGACCCTGGCACAAGTATGTTTGCTGCACTCTGAGCCTCAGTTTCACCTTCCAAGCAAGGTGTTGCCCGGGAGTCCCCAGGGAACTCTGGCCCCACCGCCCGGCAGCCCACGGGACGCCACCTGCCCAATGCTGGCGATGGGTCGGATCTTGTCGTGGGCATTCTCCCTACAGTGCTCCAGAGCGGCGATGAAGGTGAATTGTTGCTGCTGGAAGAGTTTGTATTTCTGCTCGATGCTCCGAAGGGACTCCTTTGCCTCATTCATTGTCTTCCTCAGCGATTATTCACAGAAGGAGAGGGATCTACAGGGAACAAACAAGAGCACAGGTATGAGGCCCTCAGAAATAGACTGCAGACCCAGCTCTGGAGGCCCCGACCAGCATGGCCAGGGCCTTCTCCGGGGAGCACCTCACTAGTTCCAGATCCCCCCAGGCTGTCCAAGACAGAATACAGCCTGACCCAGGTCCCTTTACCCTCCAAGGACATGTACTTTGCCATGAACCATGATTTCCTTCTCTCAAGCATGGACAAAGATTACTCTGGTCCTCAGTCTCTCCAGGCTGTGGGGGTACACATGCACACACACACATATACACACACGCACACACAGCCTATGATGCCTTCCTGTGCTGTCAGCAACAGAGGGGATCACAGAATAGGTCACAGAGTATCAAATCTGTGATTTTTATAAGTTTGGACCAAATCGTAAGACACCTGCCCCTTTGCAATTCGTGAGAAAGTCTAGGGACTGTTTCCAGTGGGCCAAGCAGCGGAAGAGTCTGTACTGGATTGTCAAGTCTGAGAAGAGGCGGTTTCCTTGCTCTGTGCTTGGGTCAGGAGCCCTGATCTCAGCCTTGCACATTCTCAGGGTAGGGGCTGGCCCTCGGCAACTCCTCTCTGCCTCCCACGTTCATGGAAAGAATGAGCCTGATAGGAAATATTCACGCCACAGGGAGTGCTCTCTTTTGGTGCCTCACAGACTGTCCCTAGCATGGTTCAGATAGCCCACAATGCGTCTAGAATCTCCTCTGTGAGCAGAGCCTGTGGATTCTGCTCTCTGTGACATCACAGTTTTGCTGAGCCCACGCAAGATGTCAGAGGTCACAGATTTACAGAGTGCTCGAACTGGAGACCCTGGTCGGTCAACTCCCTTTAACTCCTGGGCAGGGGGGAACAGAAGTCCAGGGTGTCACAGCAAGCTTGTTGGAGACACTCTAGGTCCCAGGCTTCCTGACCTGTAACTGGAGTCCTCAAAGCTGCCCCAGCCACTGTGCCTCCATCACAAGGACCCAGTACAACACACGCCCCACATGAGCAGGGGTCAGAGGAGGCCGGCCAACCTAGGGTCTGAGGGAGTTGCTGCAAGTGGAAGGGGCCAGACACCACCTGGCAAGGGCAAGGGTGGGGAAGAAGACATTCCAGGCTTCCTGGCAGGCCCTAGGTAGAGGACCGAGCCCGAGGGGGACAGAAGGCATTTCTCTCTGCTGGGTCTCCCTCGGCATCCTGAGCCCACAGCAGGGCTGGAGCAGGGAGGGCATCACCATGGCAAGAAGAGGGATGAAAGGAAGTGCAAGAACACATCAGAAGGTGGCCTCCAGGACATGATGGGAGCAGCAAAGCTGAGAACTGGGAGATCTGGGAGCGGAGCCACACCAGGATGGGCCCTGATAACGGTACCCCGGGAAACTCAGTGGTCTACTGTACATCCTAGGGAGCGCATTCAGCAGCAGTGCCCAGGCCGCACCCTGGGAACCATGATGCCTGTGTTTGCTCACAGCAGCTGCAGCTCCATGGGCCTGGGCCTGGGCCAGGCACCCTGCCCATAGTGGGTAAGCGAGAAGGGGAGCCTGGGCTGTGGGGTTGCGGTGGGCACCTGCTGTTTTACAGACACCTGGAACACCTGCCACAGTCCCTCTCCCCCTGCCCAGAGGCAGAAATGGTGGACACAGGAAAGGGGGGGCAAGGTTTTGGGGTGTGCCTCTCATGGTATAGGCTTACCAGGGCAGGTGAGGCATTCAGTGTGACATTTCAAGGGACATCCCAAAACTCAGCAATCGAGCTAGGTAAAAGTATTTGTCACACAATTTGGAGAAATAAAAGTTAATACCAGAAAGTCCACAAAGTATCTGAATTTTAAGTAAATGTGGGATGCGATCCAGTGCCACGCCTTGCTGATCCGGTAAGCCTGAGCAAAAGGAACAAGTAATATTGATCCTGGCTTCACATTTTTAATAGTTCCCTTTCAATGGAGTTTTTGCATTAATTTTGATGTTATTTGTCCTGATTACCGGGGTTTCAGGCACCCCTCACAGTCTGCATCAAGGCAAGTGCCTCACTTGCCTCACCTACCACAGGCCTGGGGCTTGGCTTACATGTGACCTTGGGGTTGAAGCCTAGAAAAGTTGGAGCCCAGCACACAGGTGGGTTTCTGGGGAGGAGAAGGAGCATATGCTTTGTCTAGCCCTCCTCCAAAATGCTCAGAGCTGGGGTGGGTGGTGAAGAACCCAAGCCCTGGAGTTGCATAGTCCTGGGTTCAAATCCTGGTTCCACTCCTTGCCGGCCTTGGGGTGGGTCTCTGAGTACTAACAGGCTGTCAGGAGAGAACAGTGTCAGCCTCCCAGCCTTGGGGTGAGCACTGCAGGAGGTGGCAGGTGGCAGTGTGGAGCCCAGGGCCTGGCACGTGGCAGTGCCTGGTCGCCAGGGCGCTCAGGGCTGTTGTGATCACACCGTGTGCACACAGTCAGGGGGCATGCCACGACAGGCATGGTGTGCGCCCTGAAAGCAGCAGAGACTCCCGGAGAGGAGAGGTGGGGCCCCTGGCTGGAGGCTGGGAGGGGGTTATGTGAGAAAACTGAAAGCAAGCACAGAAGGCAGTGGACAGGGTAAGGCTAAAGGACCCCAAGTATCACACAAAGCTAGGAGAACCACTGCAGGCCAAAAGGGGTAAGAAGCACATCATGCATTCATTCGTTCCTTCATCATTCATTCCTCACCATTCTGAGTGCTGGGCTATACACAGCACTGGACAAAATAGACAATATCTCCTTCCCTGGAGGGATTTATCTTTCAGTATGGGAGGCCAACAGTAAGGATGAGTGAATGAACCACGTTTTAGATAAGGGCACTGCTAAAGAGAAAAGCAAGCAGGGCAGTGGGACTAGCATGTCGGGATGAAGAGCTTCTGTCTGCAAGAGGGTCCTTTGCAGGGGCTGGGTGTGTGGGGGGCAGACAAACTAGAGCTACGCTCCAGCCTTCAAGGATATCCTGAACACCCACCCCAATCCTCCTAACAGCAGTTATTCTCAACAGGGCTGTAGGAAAGCGCTGACCATGCGTTAAGTCCTCACCTTGAAGGTACCATGATTACCCCTATTTGAGAAACAACAAACCTGAAGTTACCCAGCTAGAAGTGAGCAGGCCAGGATTTCCCACTTGGCTCTGCCTGACTTCATAAAGTCTGGGGTTGGACAGCTCCCTCTTTCCCTCCCATGATGGTCCATAGAGATAGGCATGCCACACATCAGATTGGCCAGGGTTGGAAGCCAGTGGGTGGGGTGGAGAGGACACCAAAGGCCTGAAAAGCTGCCGGAACCCCCCTAGGGGTCATGCACTGGCTGGACCCTGGGGTCTCATTTCCATTCCTGTGAGACAATTCTCTGTTCCCCATCCAGAAGGGCTGCCCTATGTGTCTGCCTCCCTGCCACCCTCCTGGGGCTTCCTGGGGCTGTCAAGTTCTCTACAGATGCAATGCTACCTCAATTGGTGGCCCCAAGAGCCCCTGAGAGCAAAACTGACTTGGTTCTTGATCCTAGCGACTTGTGACATGCACGCCAGGAATGTCGTGAGAAGAGCTGTAATAAGCTATCCAAAGTGATTGTCCCTTGAACGAGAGTCACTGCAGCCAAATTAGTCTGGATGAAAGGCACAGGGTGCAGGCACTTCTCGATCTGGGGGAGGAGGAAGGAAAAAATGATTACCCAATAGGTTTTAGGCTTTAATTGATTTGTATTTTCCCAGGCTGCTAAAGAAGATTAAATCATGGTATGAAAAGCGCCTAGGGCTTAAAATAAATGAGGAGAAAGGCAAGTCATTTCAGAAATGTCCAGGAAGCAAACTGAACCTCTCCAGTGCAAATTGCAGGTTTGGTTGTTGTGTTCCCTGTTCAGGGGGAGGCGGCACGCTTTTTCTTCCCCAGCTGTCTTTGCAGTTGGCTCTGAAAGCCAACCAAGGTGTGCACGCTTTGAGGAAGCAGCTCTGAGGGCACAAGACAGAACTGGAGCCTTTTACACAGGAGAGCATATCTCTGGGCAAGTGGCTGGTGGTGCAGCCTTTGGCTAGAAGTCAAGCCCTGGCTCTGCCTTTGCTCAACACTGAACTTGGCCAAGAATTTCCCCCCTTTCTGGGCCTCAGTTTATCCATCTGTAAAATGAGGTGGTTTGGATAAGATCTGCAAGGGGACTTCTGATTTTAATGCTTCACGATCAACAACTGATGAGGAAAGAGGCCCCAAAAAGGGAAATAACTTGCCCGAAGTCATTCAGCCAACTACTTCTCACCGTTTTGATCCTCCAGTTTCTCACCTGTAAAATGGGAATGAAGGTACTTATTTCTCAGGGCTGGCGCAAAGGTTAAAGGAGATAATATGACTAATAGTAGCCCCTACACATGGTGCACTCCTCCATGCCAGCTACCAATACTTCAGGCCCATTAGCTCATGAAATCCTTCCATAATCTCCCCTTCACAGGGGAGGAAAGTGAGGCACGGAGCAGAGCAGGCTCACACGGCTAGGTGGAGCCAGGAGGTGAACTCGGAGCAGTCTGTATTGACAATGCCGGACGTCCTGTCCATAATGTACAGACCCCACAAGTTTTGTTAAGAGCACTGAGAGCTCAAAACCAGCAGCTCCTCCGAAAAAATGGCAAAAGACAAAAAGCTAGAGTTCTCAGTCCAGCGCAGCGTCTGATACCAGGCTGCCTCTGTCCCACTGGGCATTAGCGCAACTGAAGCGCTCCTTCCCGCCCCCCAGGTCCCACCCCATCCCCGTCCCGGGGCGGCGGCGGCGGCGGCGGCGGTCCCCACCCAACCCTTCCCCCTGCCCCAGGGCTCCGGTGGCTCCGTCCCCGGCCCGCTTGCACCTCGCTGGTCCTAGAGCGGCCTTCACTCACAGAGCGTGCTGAAGCTGGAGTGCCTCCGAGGGTGTCTGGGGCCCTTCTCAGGGCTGCGGAGGTGAGGGGGGGGGGGGGAGGACGACGAGAAGGGGAGGGGCCGCGGGCCTGATTGTTCCCGCGGGTGCCATGGCAACAGGGTCACGTGGCCGCCCTGGCCCCGCCCGTGAGCCCAGGCCTTCCCGCCCAGCCCCCTAGGAGCCCCCCAGGGACTCCCCTACCTTCTCAAGCCGTCCCCTAACCTCTGTTCATTTTAAAGATGGGGAAACTCTGGCCCGGACAGCAGAGCCGGCCCGGCCCTCGGAGCTGTCAGCGCCCGGGTCGGGGTGCGCTGGCGGAACCAGCGCAGGACCCGCCCCCTTGGGTGGGGGGGTGTGGACGTGCCCCTCGGCGTCTCGGCACCCGGGGCCCTGCTGGAGCACCTCCGGTCCTAGAAGGCCGCAGCTGGAGAGGCCTCGCGGGCCCGCTGAGACGTGCAGACGGCGGGGTGAGGCCGGGGCGGGGAAGCACCTGCCCCCGGTGGGCGCGCGCTGATGACGCGTGCGGCGGCCCTAGCGACGGCGGTCTCCAGGGAGCGGGCGCGCGCTGATGACGCGTGCGGCGGCCCTAGCGACGGCGGTCTCCAGGGAGCGGGCGCGCTGCACCCGGCATGGACGCGACCACCGCCCCGCACCACATACCCCCGGAAATGCCCCAGTACGGGGAGGAGCGCCACGTGTTCGAGCTGATGCAGGTGACCGCGGCAGCCGCGCCCCGTCGCGACACCGGGCGCCGGCCGGGGGCCTCTGTAGCGATCGCCGGCTGCTCGGCGGCGACCCCGCAGCCGGGGGCGGCGTCCGGCTCCTGCACCGCTGGGACCCCGAGGGATGCCTCGGTCGGCGGACCCCCTGCCCCTGCCCTGCGGACCAAGGAGGGAGGAGAGAGGGCAGGCCGCCTGGCCAGGAGGTGGACATGGCTCCGGGCCAGCCAGCTCCGAGGCCTGGGCCAAGTCCCGTTCCCTCCACAGTTCTGGCAACTGTGAAATGCCAAGAGGCGAGAGCTGGTCCCCGGGGAGGCCCCTCCCGCGCTGACACCTCCAGGTTTCGGGAGTTCCGGGCGACATCCCCGTCCCCTGAGAGGGCTGCCTCCCAGGATCCCAGCCCTACGGTTGGGACAGCAGCATTTCCCACAGGGCCTTTCTTCACTAGGGCCAGGAGTTCGGGGCTGCCCGCAACCTCTCGTCCTGGGTTCTGAGTTGTCGGGGCCCTCAGTCCCCGTGTGCACTTCGGCAAAGCCCTGCCCCTTCTGGGTGCCCTTCTGCACCTCCTGGAGGCAAAGGCTTTCAGGAGCGGGACTGAAAGAACTCTGCCACTCAGGGGTGGTGAGGGCCTAAGAGAAGCTGGAGCCCAGTGTCCAGAGCACTTGCTCCTCCAGGCATAGCCCATCCCGAGGCACCCCTGTGGTGATGCCTGTGCTCCGTGGAGCCTCTGACCTGCACCCGTGGGAGCAGAGCTCAGTCAGAACCGTCTCCATCTCTCCACCAAACACGTGTTTCCTTTGGAAAGTGGTAACTGACGGAGGGAGAGACTTCTCCAAAACCGAGTGAGCCAGTCCAGGAAAAAGCAAATGGCCAGCCGAGTTATAAATCACCTGCTGGTGGGCAGGATGGGGCCAGCTCCCCAGGAGGCTGTGGTTTGCTCTAGAGAGCCCGGTGTACCTCAGAGGGATTGTGGACGGAGCAGTCTGAGAAAGCTTTTCATCCAGTATTTCCAGTCCTTAGTCATTTGTGTGGGTTCCCTCCATGGTTTTTACCATTTTCACTTCTTACACTTTTTATTTGCAAATAATTTTAGATCCACAGGATATTACAAAGGCAGCACAGAGTTCTGCTGTACCCTTCCCCAGCTCCTGTCACTAATACCATCTAAC